ACAGTTTAACTTGTGAGAAAAACGCCTGGCTTACCTGCACACATATATATTATAGTATAAACATACATTATATATATATATAGCTTTGGTAAAACATCATTTAACAATTCGTTTTAGAAATTATAAAATTAGTCGAATTTGTTTAAAAAAAACATCTTGTAATTTTCCCTTACTCATTTTTATTTGTGTGCGGCACGTTTTTGTGTCATTGCATATTTTGTGAGCTGGCAGCGCGTTTCTCCTGGCCCGCAATGCCTGCTACTGCTTGCTGCATGGTTAAAATGCTTTACGGGCTTGTTGCTGCAACTGCGGGTCTTGCCGCATATTTGTAAGAGCATCCGCTGCGCCAGTGATGCCACACATATTTTTGTGTTTTGTTTGCTCTGCAAAAGTTGAAATATATTTCATATTTTACGTTTGCTTTGGGAGCTACTCGCTAGGCGGCACGTCCAACTTCCCACGCCGTTCGCTTCGTCTCATACTTTTCTACCCGGTTTTTGTCTCTGTTGTGTCTGTGGCATATATGCACTTTCTGTAGAGTGCAATAAAATGTTTTGCGCAAAACTTTTCTACTGCTTCGGCATCGCCAAAGTTTTTGAAATACTTTTGCTCATTGTTATTGTCGAGTTTTTAGTTAGATTTGCACTTTTGTTTCGCCTTAGCTTCTGCGGCATGATACTCGTAATTCGGGCATTGTCCAAAACTGTCGCCCCACGCCCCATTAGATACTCTGGCAATGCTGGCGATAAATGATTGCCAGCTGGCAGCTCAACTTTCTGGGGGATTTTCCCAATTTACGCAACTATAAACGCGGCGGCAAGTTTCGACACGAAATAGATCAAGTTACGGTTGAAATTGTACAGCATCGGTTACGATTAAAAATATAAACTGATTTATGGATTTTAAAGAAATGAGATCATTCCTATTTTACTTAAAAATTAAACTTAAACCTATTCTAATATTTTACATATTGGTTAATATTAATTACAATTAATTGCCAAAAGCAAACGCTGCTATTTGTTTTAAACATTTTCAAAAGCTTATGTGTTCCATGAATTTATGAATATTTCTTGTAACTTAAAACTTTGGAACACTATCAGATTTTTTTGGCAAGAAACATCTCAAATTTCATTTGCGTTTAAATGCTGAGCTAAAATACAAACTCCACCACGGCCCCTCCTAAGCACCATTAATTGAGTAATTTTTGGTCACAAGGGTCAAGAAATTGTTTCAATCATATTTGCGTTCAGATTGGACAAATTGTTGGCCATGTTCAGTTTTGCTGGATTCCCAGTTAGCTGTAAGACAAATGCTTGCTGTCAAATTCTGGCTGCCATAAAACTTGAAACGTGCTCGCCTTTGTGAACTAATAAGACATGCAGCGGAGATGAGAAGCAAAACGAAATGAAACCGAACAGGAACTCCCAGTGTTGGCTAATAGATCATTAGTTAGCCAGTTGCTGTGAGAGCATTTGGGTGCTGGTCATGTTATTTGAATATTTATAGCATGCATAACTGTAATTTATGGCCAAACATTTGTCACCAGAGCCTGTGCAAAGCTCGACGCTTTGTAAAGCCAAGTCAACAGGCAGCCCTGCTGCTCTGTGCACCTCCTTTCGTATGCGTAATATTAATTATGCCCCCGAGTGAAAGTCGCTTTCAAGGGTTGAGGGTGGCCGGACACATTTTTAAAGGAAGTCGATGTATGTATATAAAAACGCTGCTTAACTTGATGGCTGATGATTATGTTGATGACATTGTTGTCAGCGTCTGGGATGTGCCCCATCATTGTCAGCATGCAGCAAAAATGGGAAAAAATAATTCATGGCTGATAGGGCGGCAGGCAGCAGCAGCCAAACAAAAGCGGCAAAGTCAAAGAGCGATGCTGCATAAAAATGCAGCAAAAGGAGCAGCAAGTCGACGAGTCGAGAGTGCATTGACAGTTGACAGCAAGGAGCATGGGCGAGACTGTGACGCAGCCCATGTTGCTAGTTAGACTCTATGCATACGTGCTGGGTTGCCAGGGCATGGTCTAGGGGTAGTCAGAGTTTGCTGCTGTTGCTGCTTTACAAAATTGCTTGTTTACTTCAAAGCGTGCATTTCTTGTAGCATCAGCTGCGTCAGGGCGCAAAACAATGCTGTCACTTGGGCGTCGCTGACACACAACAGCAGCAACAACAGCGGGATAGCAATAATAACAGTAAGAGCAACAATAGCAATGACAACAACAACAATGGCTTTGGCGCAAAGTGTGTTGAGTGCATTTTCAGGCGCTGCACATGAGCCGCTGCTTGAGATTTTGCCGAGCGCCTTATGCGGCTGGCGGATATTGCAGCGGAAGTTGATTGAAAGTTTGCTGCTGCTAAAAATAATGGTAATGAGATTGTTTTGCTTCAGACGCTGATACGACACAAGCAAGTCGAGCGCAATCCAGCTGCGATGTCACTTACCTGCTGCAACTATAATATCCCAACTAACTTCCTGATATCTATTAGTACGCATACAAATATGAATAATGCGCATACGCCGCGTGTTTCCATTTTTATTGATGCCCTGTCAAATGTAACAAATACGAGCGTATTATGCACTTACAGTTTGATGCATGCGCCCCAGACTGAGCTGCATACGTTGCTTAACAAATGGCCAGCAGATATCAAGGGATGAGTTACGCCGAGCAGCCAACTACGGAGTGCACTCAGCAACAAATTTTAGTGTTGCTGTTGCTGGTCTGACATTGATGGACAGCTGCAGCATTCAGCGATTGTTATATGCACCAACATTTCAGGTATAACTGTAACTGATTGATATAAAAAACATAAATAACAAATTCTTTAATTCGGGTGCCTCGCTTAAACGTAAATAGTAACTCTGTTAAAGCTTACCTGTGGTCACAATTTTCTAACAGCATGCAGAAAAAGGCAACATTTCTATATGGAGCGTGTAATTTTTCTTTCTTACAATATTCAACAATTTTGCCCAAAGTTGGAGTTTTGCCGTCGGCAATAATTTTGTGGAAATAGAAAACAATACTCTAGCACAGTAGAGCCAGATAAGCTCATCAGACCATCTCACAATTTAAAGTTTGAAAAAAATTGATATAAAACTTTTAATACCATTTCCATGTGGCTAGGAAAAAAATTGCACGCATGAAACATGCTCCATTTCTTTTCATTTCACTGTTCACAAAGTTGCAGAATGATTCCTTCATTTGATACACAAACATAAATGTTGTACGCAGAGCTGGACATTAAACAGACATTACAAATGATCAGGGGGCACACTTAATTGAGCGGACATTTCAAATTTTAATTTGAAGTCAGTCGCCTGTAAGAGGACCAAAAACATCAAAGCAGGCACAATAATTACTACCGAATAGCAGCAGACACTTTGGGACAAAGGGAGGACGAGGAGTAATGTCTAGGAAGTGATATAGGAGCAGTAAGTGCACATTCCCAGATGCTTGTTACGTGCATTTGCTGCAATGATTTTTATGTCTCTCTCACTCTCCCCCTCTCTTTCGCGCTATTCGTTCTGTCTCACAGTGTGTCATTTTTAGATTCCTTCTTAATTTCGACCAGCGTGACAAAGTAACGCATTAGAGAGAACGTTGAAAAGAAAGAGAAAGCGAGTGCAAGAGAGAGATATGCTTATGTATGTATATAGGAAAAGTGAGAACGCATGAAAAGTTGTCAAACATGACCATTTGGCATTGTCGTTGCCATTGCTGGTTTTCAAGCCACAAATCTAAGTGATGTCTGTGACTGCTCTGCTTTTTCATTTCTTTAGATCTACGCTTCAGTGCACATGCAAACGTGTGTCCCGCCACGGCTTTCCTCAGGCCAAAATATTTAAAAAAAAAAAAAAGAAAAAGGAGCAAAATGGAAGAAGCCAAATGAAATGTTCTATTACGTCTCTCTTTCTCCCTCACTCTCGCCGCACACATTACACATTACACACATAGAATAACTCATACGCTATGTTTGCACAGACAGAGACTTAGACACACTGACGATGCCCTCGTCGTCGGTCTCTGTCCTCGCTGTGTCCATTTGAGTGCACAATTTGAAAAGGCTATTTGGCCTGGGTTGCCCTTGAGGCAAGTGCGGCAACCGCGACGCAAGGCGCAGCCGAAGATGCAGGCAACAGGCCCTACGACGATGCCAACGTTGCATTGTCAATGTGTGTGTGCATTCAAATTGTCAAATGGCAGACCTAAATGGGCAAATTGTTGTAACAAAATATGCTAGCAGCCTCATGCCTGGCAAGGTTAGACTTGCCTAATGCGATTTGCCTGTCCTCTAGAGTCCTCAACTTGTGCTATTCATACAAGTCCATGTCTGAAAGTATTTTAAAGATTAATAAACGTAAAAACTTCTCTCGCTGATATTTTGTTGTTGTAATTTTTCGAGTTTATTTTTGAATTTATTTAGTTTTTCAGTTTGTTTATTGTGTTCCTTGTATTTTGGTTTGGGGGGACTTCTTCTTTTTCACTTGGATTCTTGGATTCCATGCTTTTTTCTAGGGCTTAAATAACATACATTTAAATCTTAATTATTTATTTTTTTTTTGGTTTTCGTTTTCATAATGTTCATAATTTTACATTTACTTTCAATTAATTTATCATTAATTAGCTAAACTAACTTCATTCCGGAATGCTTACATACATACAATTAGTCAATGTAGTCCGATTCTGATTCATAATTTTTAAGAGACATCACTTTTAAAATACATGTATATACCTATAATTTTCTGCATTTTTATTTTTAATACGCCGTTTTCTGAATCGACAAACAGATTTTACAACACTTTTTATTTTGTTTACAATTAGCCTAATAAGTTTAAAGTTTTTTTTTCTCACTTTATTGAAGTAAATTTAAAGTTGCAACAATTAATTTACAGAGTGCTTGAAGTTACATTTATATATATTTTAAATACAAATAAATTTTAAATATTCAAAAAATGCTTTCGAAGTTTTTAGTCTTTTGAGTTGTATCTTTAAATATGCAACTACTTTACATTCATTTATGACACATTGATTTAAAAAAATCATATTTTCTTGTTTAACATTTTGCTATTTACAGTTGTTATGAGCTACTAATCATTTATGCTAAGCCAATTGTAGATAGTTTGTGTGTGTGTATATGTGTGTCTTTATTTTATTATTATTTTTCTTTTTTCAATAATTTCTTTATATAATTGCCAAAAAGTTTCTTTTTGTGTGTCTCTCTTGTGATTTGTGAGCTTCTAGTAATATATAATAATTAATGCTCCAGTGTTTATCCATATTGAGCTTAGTTCCTATAAATTGTTGTTGTTCTGCTTACTATACTAATTACTATACTGCAACTAATTGGGTAGTTATATATATTTTTTAACATTTACATACATTTACAAATTTAAATTGGAAAATATTTGCATTGTCGTAATAAATTCTTTTTAAATATTATTTCTGCTGTTTGCGACGTCAAGTGTTAGTACTTACACTAAGGAAGGAACCTTTTTGTGATGCACTATTAATTGGAATTCATTGTTGCTGTTGTAGAGTCGAAATAAAATAAAACATAAGAATAAATAAACATAAAAGCTGTGAAGATCAGTCAGTATCAGTTAAGGAAATACTTTGCGCTGCCTTGAATTAAATTATAAGCTTTTTATGAATTTTTCTATTTGTTGTTCATTTACCTAGCGTATATTTAATAACGCTCTAAACTTACAGCTTCGTCCACTCTTATTGGAATTATTTTCGCATCGTTTCTGTTTTCAGTATTTACGATAATGGCATTTAAATCTGATAAATCGGTGCATTGGTATCTGTCGTAGCCTGCGCTCAAATGTTATTTAGCTTTGATCAATATGGTTTTACAATTTGCTGAATTAAGCAAATTTATGGCTTGCTTTCAAATATTTGTATGCACTGACATTTATAATTACATTGATTTATAACTTGTTTTAATTTGTATCGTAAATGGGAAACTGGCAAGTGGCGTTTGGCCCATCAATGTTTCTTTTAGATCTTGCAATTCTTGTAGATTTATTTTACAGTTCATTTTTTAGCTTTCAATTCGATTTGGCAACGCTTATGCCTAGACACAAACCTCAAAGAGCTCACAATTCCGCATGACTTGGGCTTAGACGCAGCTCTCCTGCTGCGAATACATGAGCGGCGTGCGTACTGTGACTATTTCGCGCGAGTAGGACTTCCCAACACCGGAGAGTCCTGAGAGGGAGCTGCTGGGACTGGCTATGGCCGCAGTCGAGGCCAGCCCGCTGCTGTTGCTCGAGACGAGCATTTGGCCATGTGCCAGCTGCTGCTGCTGATGCTGTTGTTGTTGTTGTTGTTGCTGTTGCTGATGCTGCTGGTAGGAGGGTGGCATGGGCATGTTGCCAGCTGGATGATGCTGCAACTGTTGATGCATCATTTGCATCATAGATGCGGAGTTGTGCGGCTGCTGCTGCTGCTGCTGATGGTGATTATGCGGTAGCGTATGATAGCCGCCCGGATGGGGGGGTAACGTATACATTTGCACCGTGCCCGGCGACACGGTTGAGGGCGTTCCTTGCGATCCTGGTGATGATACGCATGGCCCGAAGGCGGCACCAGCCACTGTGTCCACCTGCATGGCAGCCGCAGCGCCGTCCCGTGTCTTATATGCATCAATCTGCGCGTATATCGTGGGCTCCTCGAAATAATCGTATGTGGGCGGCGGAGCATGTTGATGCGGATGCTGCAGTCCACCCGCATTTGGCTTGTGGCGCTGCAGCGTCGCCGTTGCCGGTATGTTGGGCAACAGCTTGCGCATACTCGAGCCATGTGGTAGGGTGCCACCCATAGCTGGCTGCGACTGCGACTGCTGCGGCTGCGGCTGCTGCGACTGCTGCTGGACTGTGTTCTGGCTGGGTTGGTTCTTCTTGGAGCTGCTGCAAGTGGCGCTGTTCAGCGAAAGCTCGGCATAGTGTAGCTCATCGTCCTTGAGAGGGGTTGCGAGTGTAAGGATATGGTAAATTTAATATAGTAACTTTAAAAAATATTGTAGCCATTGAAATATTCGCAGTCATAAAAGTGCGCTATAGAGCAGGCTATATATACATGGCTGACAGTTTGCCCCGACGCTTACGGTAACTTACCTTGCTACTTTGGTAAGCGCCGCTGTCCACTGAGCAACCGGCGCCAACGCCAACGCCGACGCCGACGCCAGCTGTGGCGCCAGGCTTACAGCTGATTTCCACCTCGCTGGTTGTTGAAAGATGTCCCGATGGCGTTTGTGTTGCTGATTTTTGTTTATATTCGCCATCAACTAAATTGAGAGACAGCGCGAGTGGGAAGGAGGGATAGGGGAAAGCGAGCGAGAAAGAGAACGTGACAGGGAGAGAAAGTTGAAGTTGTTGTTAAATGGCGCAAAGGGCAAAAGTTTTTGGCTGCCCAAGCTGCCGGGCACCGCCCTCTTTCAAAGAAATCTGTTGGCGATTTTCGTGGCGCAACGTTCAATTTTCTTTTCGGCTTTTGCCATGAAATTGCTGTACGTTCAGAAAATTGATTAAATCGTTGAGCTGTGCGGCTTTCGCTGATTTCTTCATTGCCATTAATCAAGCCAAAAACGTGTGCACCGGCTAACATCTGTACAAACTTGAAGTGCTGCATAGCTTAAGGATCAGAGGGAGTGATGGTGGGGCATGCTCTCGACTGCAGACATATGAGCAAACAGACACATGGAAAAGGCAGCTCAGGCCTGCCTGCCAGCAATTAGCTGTCATTTAAATATTTCAAGCGTGGCACAAAAATGCAGCCCCGCCCCCACACATGCTCTTGAGCGTGTTTGTTTATCTTGGCTGACTGGCAGCCTGTTTGTCGTGAAGCCCGTTTGCCCAATGCTCATAAATTACATAGACAGAGACTCCCGGGCATTTATCTTGAGGCAAGCGGGAGCTTAGACTGAATTGCAATTGCACTTACCCTCGTTGTAGGGTACGACATCGGGATTCTTCTCGTCGTACATCTCCTCGGAGTGGCTCAATGGCAATGAGATTTTATCCTTAATTTGCAAATTGCCTGGACGTGAGAATTTCGCATTCGAATGTGCGAATTTCTGCTGCTGCTGATGCTTGTGCGAGCGCAGCTTCAGCGCGGCGATGGTGCCAATCGCAATGCACACCAGAGCCACCAGAATGCCCACAAAGATGCCAATGGATAGAATGGGTGTCAGTTCAAAGCTGCTTGCGCCCTGAGCGCTACCCTTCAACGACGTTAATGCAACTGTAAAGAGTGGTAGAGAGAAAGAGAGAGAGAGAGAGAGAGAGAGAGAGAGAGAGTGGGAGTGAACGAAAGAAATCATGTGTAAATCATGTTTAATTTGGAATCTTTTTAATGCCCAATTAGACAAAGCGCCGCTAAGCAGTCTCGCAAAACAGTTTCCCATTAATAAAACGGCTGGATGCAAATTTCATTTTTACTCTATACGCAAATGGGCATTTTAATTCTCTTATCCATTCGAATTTACGATGTTAACAGTAATTAAAGTAATAATAATAATGATACCAATAATAATAATAATAATAATAATAATAATAATAATAATACTAATAATAATAATAATAATAATAATAATAATAATAATAATAATAATAATAATAATAATAATAATAATAATAAAATATAATAATAATAATAATAATAATAATAATAATAATAATAATAATAATAATAATAATAATAAAAATAATAATAATAATAATAAAAATAATAATATAAATAATAAAATTAGTAATAATATAAAACTAATAACAATAATATTAAAACAATAATTTGTATAGCAAAATCAGTACACACTGCATATAGTAAGTTACAAGCTTTCAACAAATTTTCATTGTATTTTTATTTTGATATCTGAATGATAATAAGTACATAAGATTATCTCAAAAGCAAGTTTAACGTAAGTTTTGAAAGGGTATTCAGTGTTCGATAAAACTAATTCCTCTTTTGCCGCCCTCATCAAATTTCACCATTTTTCTTTTATGACTTTATGAAAAATTAAAACGACGGCTCAAGTTGTTTACCCAAAAATGTGCCTGTCTTTGCCAAGTGCGCCATGGCCCGTCCCGCTTCTTTGGCCCAGCCATTGGAAAAAACCTCTTCTAAACTTTGCATTTCGTTTCAGCTAATTAGTATTACAATTTGCTTTTGCGCGGCATTTTCATTTCGTGCCACGCGAAAACCTCCTAAAGACAATTCATTAATGTTAATCATTTTATATAATTTCTTCTCGTTTTTTTTTTGCGCTGTCGCTTGCATTTTTTTTTCAACTGCAAGGAAAAAGTTTTTGTGTAGCGCTGAGGAATTTACAATTCGTTGAGCAGTTTAGCGTAATTAAATTGCAAGACGGCACGATAATAATAGCTGGGAAAATTCTCTATCCCGACTTTGAGCCCCACTTATACATACATAGAAAATCTTATGTAAAATTATTCAACTGCCATGACTCTCGGACTTTACGAGTACGAACAACATTATCATAAAAAATTCATAAATGGCCAATACACGCGCCACATAAAAATCCATTCACAAGTCTTTGACAACTGCTCCGCGAAATATTTGGCATTGCGAAAAGCTGTCCCCTGCCCACTGTAGACTTACTACTTTACTACTTACCAGTTTGCTTTTCGGCAGCCTTTAGGGTATATCCATCGACGGCTACGGCCTCACTGCGTCCGCGTCCATTCACCGCATAGATATAGATCCGGAATAGACGACCCGCATCCAGCCCGCTGACACTGAACACCGAGAACTTGGCGCTGATATTGGCTTGCAGCAGCCCACTGTGCTGATCAAAGATTTCCATAAGGAACCATTGACGCATGCCTCCATCAAACCCTGTAATGAAGGAAAAACCAAAAAATGTTTAAGACTTATTGAAGTGAAGCAAGACTTAGTTTGTTGCTGTAGCTGTTTAATAAGATTTAACATTTGCATCTCTTTAAAATGCCTCGAATAACAGAGACATCTAGTATCTTCTTGATTTTTAACAAAAATAGACAACTTATCTTTGAAGGCTGATACTTTAACTAAATTGTTATAAAAATTAAAATATTTATTTATAACTGAATACAAATATTAAATGCCTTTTGAAAGCCAGTTTAATGTCATTTGCAGCTAAACACAGTAATTATATGATAACAGCTTGACGCCCTTTATTTTGGGTATTACGAATGCAAACATTTTGTATGAGAAAGCCTCGACGTTCCCTTCTCTTAAGGGTGGTTCAAGTGAAGTTAACAAAAATACTTGAAGTAATTTAAAGCTTCATTTTAAATGCCATTTAATAACACCACAAAAGAACTGGCCGCCCACTTGAATGGAGATTGTTCGCCCCACCCACCAGTTGCAAATGTGGCACCCTTTACCAAAAAATAAGCGGCTAAAGTTGCTGTTGTTGCTTTCGGCCTTGTTGTTGCTGTTGCTGCTCAAATGGTACTTCGTTCTAGACACAAAAGTCGGCTTAAAACACTTGCGAAAAATGTTAAAATATTTTGTAATAAAGGCGGCGCTTGAAAAGGTTGCTGACCAACTACAACTTGAGTCGGTCAACGACGGCAGGAGGGACGTGCCACCCAGAGGAGAAATTGTTGTGTAAAATGTTTTATATGTTGCTATGAATTTAGCCGGCATTGTTGTATATATTTAAGCCAATTGTTGTTGTAGTTGTAGCCGGTGGTGGCTACAGTGGCGCTGCTGATGGTGGTTCTTAGCACAAAGGCTGCACGGAAATAGAGTCAAAAGAATGTGCTTCGCCTTTGCTTCAACGGCCTTTGTGTGGCATCATTGTTTGTGGCCAGGGGTCGGTCGTTGGCTGGCCATGGCTATATCCAAAGCATTTTGTGCGCACTTTAAAACGTTTAGCTAATGAAATTTGCCGCAGCATCGGGCCAAGACAAGCCAGGCAACAACAAAAACTTCATTGTAATGGGTTAATTTTATTTACTTGGGCCAGGCTACAATGGAAATTGCGCAACTCGAGTAGAAATAATAAAGCAACGGCAGCAGCAGCAGCAGCAGCATCAGCGGCAGCGGCAGCGAGCAAAATGTTATAAACTGAAATTTTATTATATTAAACCGACGCTTGATGAGTTTGGTTAGTTGCCTGCGTTGCCTCGTTGCCTTGTCTCTCCCAGAGAGCAAAAGAAGTAAACAGAGCGGAAGGAGAAAGAGAGAGTTTCAGCTGAAATGGTTGGCTAAGAGGCAGCCTGTGGCAGGCAACTTGCCCTCAAGTTGTCTGTGAGCCGCAGCAGCAGCAACACCAGCGCGCATTGAATTGAATTCGAGGCAAGTTTTCGTCCTCGTCCTCATCCTCGTCCTCGTCCTCTTCCGCGTCCTTACCACGTCGGTTTCTGAGGCAGCAAGTTGGCCAACTTGCGTGCTGGCTTATTAAAGTCGAAACGTACAGCGACCGCAGCTTACGTTGCGTTATTATAAAAAACAAGCCAGCGTTGGTGGTCGGGCTGTTCCCTGGGTTGGGCGCGCGTCATTTGCTTTAATGTAAAGTGCAATATAAGAAGTATCGCGTTTTGTTGCTGCCGCTGTTGATGCTTTTTCCGCTTACCAGTTTGCGTTAAAGTTTTAATGATGCTGATGGCTATGATAATAATGTGCAGCCACTAAATTAGCAGGCATGCGGGCTGCAAGTCTTTGCGAAATATACATAAAATGCTCAAAGAGAGAAGCTTAAACCCTCGCACAGTAAAGGGGCGTATACGTAATACGCACCTTACACTAATCAATAAAAACACGATACTTATGCTAGAACTCACTGAATATCTTTGGAATGAACCCATTTTTATTACTTAATCCAAAGAAGTAGAAATTTTCAAATATTTCATACTAGTTTTGATAAAGCTGGTAAGACTTTCACCACCCATGTATGCAATCCCCTTCTCTCTTTTCCCCGTTTCCCTGTGCATCAGTATCAATCATTTTCATTAAACAAAGTAGAAAAAAAATTTAAAATTTAATACTGCTCCATTTAATACATCTCCATGTAAAAAACTGTTTGTCCAGACTGACGGATCGACTGACTGGCTGGAACAAAGCCGGCCAAAAGCTGCCTTAATCATTTAAGATTCCTTTATTCCGAATTTACTGCATTAAATGTCATAAAAAATAATAAATAAATAGGGGAAAATTGAAAAAGAAAATAATAAAAAATGTATATTTACATAATTAATTCAATTGAATTACGTAGCCTTACACTTTTAATAATAGATTTAAAAAATAGTTAACACTTTTATAAAATGACATCAAAATTTAGAGAATTTTGCAAATAAATTTAAAAAAGCGCAAAGCAGTGAAAATGCTTAGAAAACTCGATTCAAAGTTTTCGGCAACAAATTTTTAAAATATTCTGGATGGCTTCGTGTACTTGTCTCTCAAATTGTAAAATCGCATTAAGCATACGCAGCGTCTGGCGGGGTAGCTGAGCTAAGGCTTGAGACAAACAGCATTTAGCGCAAAAGGGTTGTCGCCTCGAGAAGGGCGATGGTTACCCTAAGGAATAGGTTTGTCAAGAAGGCCAACATCAGGGCATGCATTAAGTATGCAGTTATTATGCGCTTTTTGTTGAACTTTCAGCAGCCGCCTCGTTATGCGTCTGTTGCTTCTGCTTCTGTTATTCGCTTTGCTTTGCACTTGAGAGCGTTTCGAGGGCTGCATAAATGCATCATAAACTCGACTCTTACAGTCGCAATTTGTGAGGACATTTCTCGACTGCTGTCCTCTGTCCTCTGGCTGCCGTCTTCTCTGTGCTAATATGCAACGCTGTGGAGCTGAACTTTGAGCTCGGCTGCAACAATTTGTGCTTCTTATTTTGCGCTTTGCTGGCAGTTTTCTATCTTTTGCATTTCCGTAGCGCATAAAATATGCGAATTGAATTTGTATTTAAAGTTTTCGCCTTTTGCATTTGCTGTTGCTTTTGCTCTTGCGCTTTTGCTTTTACTTTTACTGCCAGCAAGTTGCATAACAAGCCAAAACATTTTGTATTTTCAAATTTGTGCTTAACTTTTGGCGCTCACTGTATTACGTCTCTGTCTCTATTGCCGGCTCTGCTGTTGCTACTGTGCGACTACTTCATCATTTTATACTCCGGCTTTATTTATTTTTGGCAACATTGCGCCATGAACCGTTTGGCGGTTAAAACTTTGCTACATTTGCCAGCCGTTTTTTTTTCCAGCAAGTACTGCAATCTGCTCTAACGCCAGAGCATTTTGTATATGGACTATGACTATTTCTCAGCGTGTTGCCTTTTCTAGTTTAATGCTTTCATTGCATTTTTATTATTCGCCTGTATCTCGAAGGAAGTTGCACACACACACACACACATACACAGATCCACACACTCGCATTCTGATTCGCATTGCCTGCTGCCAAAGTGCACTTAAGTTGCTCATGTATTTTAAATGAGTCTGAAAAGCGCTGCAGGAAACCCAACAACATGCTCATACACATGTACCATGATTTTCACCATACTCTTCAAACTCTTTTCTGGCCATTTAACTAGCCATGCAGCACATTGCTTGAGTTGTGGCTAACTTTTTTTTTACCACACACATACAAATATTCAGGCATATATGTATACATATATATATTTCCTTTTTCGACCATTGATTGGCTCATCAGCAATTATAAAAGCTGGTCAATTGGCTGGCTATTTCTGGCAGCCTTTGAGTGTGGCCCTGTACTCACCTTCGAGGCAATAAACCTCCAATGAATCGGACGTTTGATTGACCACGGTACAATTGGTGGGCGCTTCCGGTTTTCCCGCAGCTATCAAATGGAATACACAGGGCTCCTTCTGTTGACCCACATTGTTGTCCGCCCAGCACATGATGGTGCCGAAGTCCATTTCCTGTAGGTAACAATTTAAAAAAGTATTTGAAAAAAAAATGTATAAAAATATTTGTATTATGCCTTTTAAAGAAGTTAATTAAATTATTATGCTCCCATCTTCATTATTTTTAATAAATGAATCAACGTATATCAAGTTGTTTTAAACAGTTAATTGTTATATCGGTTAATGTTACATTATGTAATTGTAATATGATTTTAATGCATTAAATAATAAATTAAATACACAATAAAAGCGTTAAAGTTGCGTTCGGAACAGTATTGTGGCTCGGTGGCGTATGCGTAATGTGCTTGTCAGACCGCCTGATTGATTGCAGCTGTCAATAAGTCTTTCATTAATATAATTTCATGTCAATAAAAGCACGCACACACACATACACTTGCACACACACAGCTAGTAACAGTATGTGATAAGAGCCAAGAAGAGAGAGATGAGGCCAAGAAGAAGTGAAAGTTTTCCCAATTTGGCAGTAAAAACAAATGAAGCATTTTGTGGCTGGCTATTTGGGCTCATATTTCTCCGAGTCTGTGATTGCTGGGGCCACAAGGAAACTATGTTAACATGGCTTTAATGTATGCCATGTGTTCGGGCATGTTGAACCTGATAAGTGGCCACGCCCTGCGGGCCCATTGTTGATTCTTTGTGTGTGTTTGTGTTGTGTCAAATGTTGTGCTAATGAAATCCTCCAACTCTATTACGGTCAAATGAACAACAACATTCAAGACGATTGATTTGTTTGCACAAAAACAAATACATACACACACACACACATACGCGCGCGCGCACATACACAGATAGCAGCTTGCCATGACTGTGTCTATTTACCTTGGGCATTGTTAGCTGGAAAAATAAACGCACGTAATCAAAGCTAGACGTCTTAAACTCATTAGAAATTAAAATCACTTCTACAGCGCCCAGTACGCTTCAAAATGTCACGCAAATTGCAGCTTATTTATCAGTTGGAGCGCGCACTTATATTTACACCCCAACTCTCGACCTTCCAGTCGAGTTAAAACCGGGCGTTCTTGTCATTTTAATAAGGACAGAAAAAAGTAACAAAAAAAAAACAAAACTTTTAGTTTTTTTAATTGAAGCACAGCCAATGAAAGAAATGTATTCAACACAAACGCTTTAAAATATAAAGAAAAAAAAAGCTAAGTATTTGCTTAAGCTAAAAGCCGTTTCAACTTGTTTTGAAAAATCAATTCATTGACATTAAAATGTCCCATCTAACCAAATGTCTCCCAACAGCCCAATAGCTTATGATAGTCATCATTGTCTATGTATAAGGGGCAACCAAAAACTTGAATTAGTTGAGAATGAAAGTGTTGCGTTGTCTCATGTAGAGAATGAGGTATTTACTAGCTATGCACGTTTATGTCAGGTGCAAGCAAAGTATTTATGCAAATTTATGACAACTTTATGAAAATTAAAATATGGACATATATATTTATTTATATGACATGCACTTCTACCGTGTTGTATTTAGCAAACGTGCTATCACAAAGGCGGCAACTTGGCAGCTGCCAGCACTTCGCATCAACACCTACGCAACCGTGTGGGTGTGTGTGTAACCGCAAGCAACACACAGACTGCGGAAAGCACATATGCTGCATGTTAAGTAATAATAAATTTGCAATATTCACACACAAATTCTCGGAAAATACTGATGAGAATAAGGCATTGTGAAAAGCATTGCATAGTTTTTGGGGCTGCTGCAATTGTCAGCCAAGAAGATGCTTAACTTTAATTTGCCAGAGCAAAAGCCAATTCTTGTCTACATCTTACATACTCTTTTCTCTTGTGTGTTTGTGTGTGTGTGTGTGTGGGTACTGCAGATTTATGCCCAACTATGAATATATATTATCATTATGCACTGTTGTTTATATTATTTTAATGTTGCCGCATCAAGCGTAAATATTATTACAGTTGTACAGCGCACAGCTAACAAACACAAATGCCTAAATTGTTTGTGGAAAAACAAGGACACACACACACAAGCAAACGGCCATTTAATTTTGCTTTGAGGCATTGTCTGATTTTTTGCCTATCTTCGGCTCGTCTCTTGCCTGCATTTTTATTGCATTCTTGCCTAGTGCTGACAGCCCGAAAAATAAATGTTATTGTTTATGTATTTTAATTAAAATTTAAACATTTCGGTGACATTTTAATGAGTTTTTCGGCCAGGCATTCTGTGTGCGAAATTTTCGACAAATTTCGTGAGCTATTTTCATACGTGTTTGCATCTCTATGAAGAATGTGTCTAGTAGGAAAAGCCAAGCCCAAATGCTCACACATGCAAAAGAGACCGAGACGGGTCGACAGAAAGAGAGGAAAATGCCAAAGCATGGCGAAAAATTAATGAGCTGTTGGCTGTTGCCTGCCTTTGAGCAAAACACATACAGAAAATGGAAAATATAAAAAATGAAAGAAAAATCAGCCCAAAGGACTACAATGTCAGCGACGTCGCTTGAGCTGCGGTTGCGGAAGCCGGAAACAGCATATATGACGACAGAACGGAAGGGATTTTTCATATTCAATTGAGCTAAATGATTTATGTGTGGATGTGTGTGTGCCTTTGAGTGACTTCGTGCGTGTGTGTGTGTGTTTTACTATGTTTCTGTGTGTGGGTGCAATCAGCGCTGGGCGACTGTTTGTGAACGGAACTCATTTGAATGCCGTTTGACTAGCAACATTTTTCTTTGACTTCTGAAATGTGAGCCCAGCAAGTCAGACAGGACCTTCGATCCACAGAGCCATAGGCAACTTTCATGTCCCCTCATATAAAATAACGTTGGATAGGGCGGGTGGTGCACCACTTTCAAATGGGTCAGCTTAGCAACTAACCGAGCTACGAGCCGGCTTAACAACTACGTTGAATTTAAGTACCTCGCCAAGCGTTGCATTTACGCAAATTTTTTGCTATTGTTGTCATTGTGTTTGTAGCCCAATGACAGCCATTTTAGCCGACAAGCAACCAAAAGTTGAGACTAGAACTTAACAGGTTGATGGCCACAAAATAAAACCAGTTAATGCACTGCTGGCTAAAAATTAACTGAAGTATTGGTTTGACGTTTTTTCCACGCCTATCTGAAAAACCCTCACATGTTAAATTAACTGCAATAAAAAATATATATTTTTCATAAAATAAGTATGTATTCCATTTTTATTTTATATGAATGTATATGGGATAAAAATGTCAATCAAATGCTCATATAGTGGTTGGTTGCCTTAAGCAAACCCAATTGTCTGGTCCATAATTGTAGTGCATATTCCATTTTGAATTGGCCGACTATTAAAGTGAACAAAGGCAGCTACTGCAGCCAAAGCTCCCACTGGATACGGCTAAAATTCTATTGAAGTTGGTAGAGGGGGCGCTTTGGGCAGACGGACATTCGGTTACTAATTTTTGGCATTGATAGGAATGCAGCTCTTTGATAGCCAATTGGCTGCCCAATTGGCAGGGTGGTAATCAAATCTAAAATGTGAAAGCCCTTGCATTGCCATTGCAATGGGCTATATCGATGACGATAACGTTGGCCATTTAAGTGGAAATGTTGGCCAATTGTCAGTCATATAGCGATCGCAAATGGCGAGTCAATTGCATGGCTCGTTGTTTCCCTGCCAGCAATACACTGATTGTTGCAACTTAGAACCAGAGTGGCAGTTGCTTTAATATTATGAACGTACCTCTGGCTTTTGCTGTTGGGACTGTTGTTGGCAGCGCATTTAATTAGAAAGCACTAATAGAATTTTTAATTAAAAATTGCTCATGCGCTGGCCGAGAGCCAGATAAGGCCCTCAACGCTCCCACCACTCTCTTTGCCGGCTCGTGTTGGTTTTACATTTTGTTTGACAATGTGACACGCACACGAGACACAACAACAACGCGTTAGCTGCCTATTAATTAAAATTTAGCCATTTAATTGGAAGCAGCACATTTAGCTGCTTCGTCTACCATTTGGCCAAATGTCAAATATGTCAATAGCAATATCACATCAAAGACATGAAATAAAATTGAAGTCAGCCAAAAATCAAACCCGAAAGACAAGCTTTGACCGCACCAAACACCCGTGCCTGTATGCCCCACTAAACCGCCCATTAAAACACACACACATACATCCCATGTGGCTGTTGTATCGGTTGTTTCCATGTTTAGCATTTAACGCCATGTCGTTTGTAATTTTCATAATGCAAGCGAGATGCGAAGCTGACCCATCGTTGAAGGTGTTAAGGGCCAGGGGCTGGTGTGTCCCATCGAATAGGTCAAATATAGATATATGATATTTACTGCCATAACAATGCGTACTTACCTTAACTGGCGTATAGGTCAACGTGGAGCCCTGCGCGGAATGTGGACGAAAGCCACTCTGTGGCATATCGAAGGTCTCCGCGGTGTTGTTGAAGGACCACTTGAAGTTCTCGGGCGGCGGAAAGGCGTCTACTTCGCAAACGATTTCAGCCGACTCGCTGCGGGCGACGCCATAGATTTTCTTTTGATCGGGCCGGCAAATTGGTTTATCTGTAGAGGGAGATGGATAGATAAAAGGAGAGAGGTGGTGAGCCAAAGTTAGAAACTTTGATTTTTGTCGAGTGCATTTTGCTGTTCGTCGGCGGCTGCTGCTGCCAATCAATAATCGCATTGCTTGCCCAAACTTAATGCAATAAAGCTCGAGCAGTTCGAGTGCACATTCTCCCGCTGAAGCGGATGGCTGGGGTTTTTGTTTTTGCATGCCACGCCCAGGCCCGAAAACCACACTCAAATCCTAAGTAGAAAAGTTTGAAAGCACAAAAGGCACCAAGAATAGAGAGTCCTTTTGCATTCCGTGTAGCCTGTGCATGCAGGCTTCCTTGTTGCCCATTGAAGCAACTAACTAAACAGAGTCCGCAATAACAACAGAAACAAAGCAGAGCTGAGCAAAAGAAAAATCTAACCAAACGTTAAGTGAAAGAAAAACTTGGCCGAAACTTAAGTTCTGAGCCCGTAACGAAACAGCTAGGAAAATTCAATTTCTTCTAATCCTTAGCCAGGCACAGCTTCAGCTGCAACTGCATTGGACATTGCAAGTGCACAATTTATTGTACAGTTTGACAACTCCCAATGTTGTTCGAGTTGCTGTTGCTGATGTTGTTATAGCCAAAGCCAAAACTATGCTGTAAACAAATTTCCATTGAGCAGACCAGGGCGCAGACCAAGTCCAAGCGAAAGGCATTGGGTTACAGATTGGGTTTTTGACTGTGGCTATTCCAATCCACACTGGAGCGAACTGGTGTGCGGCCACAATTTGGGTGACAAAAAACATTGCACCACCTTCACCGCTGGATGCATTTTTTGAAAAGTAGGCGAGCCGACCATCGGGCAGAGGTTCAACTTTAAACAAAGTCAACGCAAGAAAAAGAGCTAAATCTGTGAATACCGAAATAAAAGAACGCAGGAGAGTCCGCTTATCCTTGCACACATTTAGCAGATGTTGGATTTGTTACTGTACTCAGTCACACAACTGTGTTTTTTATAGAATAACTTATTGATTATTTTTGCCAGCCGGACAGGGCTTTAATAACTAAGCTCGTCGGTCTGCTCAAAATAATATATACTGTAGGGGGTCAAAGTTGTCGGATGTCACATTTCGTGAAAGAATTAGAATACTCTCTTAAAGGGTATATCAAACTGGTTATATAACTGCTAAGTGAAAACACTGTAACAGGAAATTGCACAGGAAATAAAAGCATAAGGCAACAAGAAAAACCAACAACAAGAACAACCACAAAATTGAGCTGGGAATAAGGATCTGTGTGCTAAATTGCTTGAAAAAGAGAAAATAATTAACGGGAGCTACCTTTTCTTTCTTTTTTAATTACAGGTTCAACACTCTTTGTAAGCAAATTGGGCAAAAGATTTGAGGCAAACCTTCGACCGTGAAATGAGACTGAGGAGTCTCATATTTTGTGCCATAAGAATTAACTCTACGTTTATTTTTGCTCGCACAATACAAACCTTATACTTCCTAAATACGATTGAATTTTAGGAGACTTGGAATTAAATGAATCTCCACAGCATAAACAATGTTGATAACCGACTAAATGATATTCCTTGAACCCTTTAAGAAATTATTTAACAATATCTTCAATAATTTAATCGGAAATTTAATTAAATACTTGAAGCCGTTTAAAAACAAATGTGTAACGGGTTTTGGTGTTGTTGGCTGACCAATAAAAAGGAAAAGGAAATGCGCTCAGTCAATAGCAAAATAACTAAACGTCAACAAAAGGCAGGAAGCCAGGTGCTGGCTGGTTGGTCTAGTGTAAGTTGTGCTTATTGTGAGTTGGTTTCCAGAAATCAAAGTTGGCAACCGCAAAAGTGCGCGAGCTCTATACGAGACCAAGATGGCAAAGCCATAGCCAAAATTGAGCCCGAGCCAGCCCCAGATTCGGTTCTGCTGCAGTTTCAGTTGCAAGCACAAAAGAGCGACAGTACAAAAGGTTTTCGAGTGTAACACAATAACGGGGGCGTATACGCAATAAAGCTGCAGGAAACCCGCACGGCCGCACAATGCGCCACTCTCACGAGCCACTCACCCATTCGACCAGCCAACCACCTAACCACTCGGCCACTCAATAATGCTGCCTTTTTGTGTGTCAAAGGTTTTTACCAAAAGCCTAAGCAGTGCAACCACCCCCGCTGTTGCGGCGGCTGGCGAAGCAGACTGGCAATATGATGGAGGCAGCAGCCAAACGGGATTCGATTTAATAGTCAGTTGGCATTTAAGAGCTGCGAATGTTTGTTAATGGCTGAAACCGTACGTTGGGTCATGTGTTGAAAGAATGATGGCCCAACGCAACGCCAATCGCAACCATTCAGCGCGTATTTTTTATGACCCAAGCCACAATAACAATGCCGAGAGCCATGCAAATCGAGACACACATGTCAAATGTGGGCCAAGCTTAAAATGTTGCGCATACGCAGCGTTGCACACAGCTATAACTTTCGGTTTGGTTTTTCAGATCTTTATTTTTCGAAGTGCTAAATAAAACTCAGCACGTGCCCTATAAAACTTGACATGCGACTGCTGGCGCAATCGTTGACAACAACAAAGCTTTTGTATAGTCGGAATCAATTCAATGAAATCCTAAATAAATGTTCAACTCGAAATTCGACTCCAGCTACCCCGACCATAATTTAAAGTCTACCAATCCATGGAGCGCTTGTACTTACACATCACTTTCAGCTCGACTATGTTCGAGTCGCCATCGCCCTCAACGTTGGAAGCAGTACAGGTGTAGTTTCCGGCCTGGTGGCGGGTGACGCCCTGCAGCGCTAGATCTCCGCTGCTCACAATTACGCCGGCACGCTGGTTGTGCTGTATGATTTGATGCTGCAAGCGGTACGAAATATAAATAGCATATTAACATTAGTCTTGAATTTTGAACAAGTTATGCATCCCTATCATTATATTCTGTTCGTGCTAATGAGCGTTTTCTTTTGTTTCTGTCTGTCATTCACACACGCTCAATGGATGCTACAGGTGAATGGTTATCAAATATAAAAAGCTATGGCAATTAGTAGGATTATGTGCACGACATATACACAACGCCCCTTCTGGGTGAATAGCTCTAAGTAGCTTATTTTCTAAAAGTTCTACACTCGACTGCACAGTCGCATCCAGGCAAACAAACACTCCAGTAAAGCTAATTAGGGAAATTAAATTTCTTTCTTGAGAAAATAATTGATGTTTTTAAATATTTAAATTATAATTTATGAATGAAAGATTGACTGATTGGTGATCCACGCACAGCCCAAGCCAAGAGCTAAGAAGCTGAACTTTTCACCGTATTTACCTTATGGTTCATGCTTAGACGGAGCTTTGGTAACTTTTTTCAAACTGTTTTGAAGGGTGCACACTTTTCAGAAAATCAATTCTGTCTTTGTGGAAATGGAGGTCAAAGATTTGGTGGGTGAAGTCTCAACCTCAAATTTACGGGTAATAGGTTTAATGAACGAAAGTTTATTTTTCGGGTTCAAGATTCTCGCCTTGATTACAACTTGTGATTCTTTATTCGATGTACTTTTATATTATTTTCAAATCTTTTTGTAAATATAATTGTATACGTTGAGTTCAATATAGTATTGTTAGATTTTAATTATCTACTGGCAGGAAATGGGTGATCAAGTTATATTGAAATTTTGAAGCATAAAACTTTCCACGGGAAGTAACCGCTTTTATACTAAAATCAGGGATTTTCATATTTTTGGAGGCTCACTTCAACAAATCAAACCAGTTAAAATTGTTAAAATTAAAATATTCTGGGTGTCATATCATTTCGTTTCATTTATTTAACTAGTAAATAAATAAATAAGAAATATATGAAATTACAATAAAAACCGGGGTTTCATACAAATGCGGCCTGTTACAATAACATATTTAAAAATGCAAATATTTTGTATACTCTAACATTTATTTATGTATTACTACTTCATTTGAGCTATGCAAAAGATTTAAAAAGCCAACATTTGCTTAACCATTTATTACGTAATTTTCATTATATTGCTCTGTATTTTTAAAAGATTATTCATGCAATACATGCGTAAGTGCAAGAAATTGCCATTCAGCTCGGCACATTTGCCCCCGACATTTGGCCGCAAGGTCAGCAGCGGCTCCATTTATTATAAGACCTAACCCTCTAAAATGGTTCGCTCATAAACGCGCACTCATACGCGAGGCGCTTCATTAGAGAATTGGGCGTCAGTGTGTGAAACGTGTTTGGCATTTGCAAAAAGCAGATAATCTGGCAATATTTACTTAAATTTCACACACACACAGTTGACCTTCATGGCTAGCACGTTCATTTATAAGCATATATGGGGACTGGCTTCTGTTGGCATGGCGATCCCAGTGCGCCGTTACTCGACAAGATTTTGACGCATTTCCCCAGAGCCTTGTGCCATTTAGCAGCAAAACAAATTCGCACTTAGGCTTGCACACCAGCAACAACAACAATAACAATAGCAACAAAAGCAATAACAACATTGAAATAAATAAAAATGTGTGTATAAATTGTCGACGAAAGTCAAAATGGCAAAATAACAACAAGAACAACAGCAAGTCGAACAAAGGCGGTATGACCTTAGCACACACCCACAACCACACACACTCAAACGAACACCCACCCAACCACACACACACACACACACACACACACACACACTTGTGCTCATAAGGATGCATAACAACAAGCAGAAAGCAGCAACAACCAGAATGTGGCACAAATACATTTGAGAATATGTGCAAATAGCATACAATAAGCGAGGGCAAACAATGCAATGTGGCAACACTTTGATAATAGTGTTGCCTACTTTTGTGCGAACTGAGCCATAACTTTGGCTCTAATTGTGTGTGCGTATGGTCGCGTCGCGTCTTTTGTCTGGTCGCAGCTCTTTGGCCCAGCCCAAACAATGCCAATGACAATGGAGCCACAATGCGGTACAGAGGGGCAGAGAAACAACTGAGTTCGTCAGTCAACAGAATATTTGTCCAATGGTTATATATTTGTATGCTTGTGTGTGATTGTTCCAAATCAAATGCCTTTGACTGTTTGCTTTTAAAAAACTAGCTGGCTTGGCTTGGTAGAGCCAACTGGGCGTATTTTTAATATATATAATGAGCGCATTTTAAAGTCCAGGCACACGGCGCTCAGCTTTAGCCTTAAGCAGACAAATACGCATTCGAATAGTCACGACCTTGAAGCCTGCTTAGCACTCAGCGCAACCTCACAGGCCCCGTGACCCCGCCACTATTCCCGTAGGGCTCACTTAAATAGCCCCCAAAATGTTGCCAGCCATTTGCTGAGCTCAGCTCGTCGGGGTCCACTGTTGTTGTTGCCGCTGTCATAAAACAAATAAAAATGTCGCCAGGCACACAAAAGTAAACAAAGTTCAAGGTTGTCACACAGAAATAAAAAAAGTAAATAAGTAAATAAATAAAAAAAGTGGGTTGTGCTTCGTTTCGTCTCAGTTGAGGATTATTTCAATAGTTGAAGGCACATCCGCTGCAGCTTTTCCGCACTGGCTTTTCCGTTTCGCCTCAGAACCAAAGCCCAGGTTTTTGCCAGCCTCGCAACCCTTTTGCCAGCTGCCATCTGCCGCTCGCCGCGCAGCCTCTCCTTGCTAATGGCGCATTTTATGCGCTGCCATTTTGTTTGTGTGTCTGCAGAGACAAGCGCCTTGACATGTTTGTATTTGCCTACCACTCGCTGCTGCTGTGCTGCTTACCCTGCTACAATAAATACCCAATTAGTGTTGACCATTTATTTAATGGCCTGTCTGATTGTGTTGGCTTCTTCGGGTCCAATAAAATTCTCTTGCCCACAAATCAACTACACATTTGTTCGTCTTTTAACTAGATTTGTGCCATATTCTGGTATTTTGAAAAGTCACCAAAAACTTTCTCAGCGCACGTAATTTCCATGGAGAGTCAAATTGTTCTTAAAGTTTTGAAATTGTATTTTGTGAATGTCAATCGGAGTTGGACACGTGTCATTCAAGACTTTTGGCAGTCCAAAGGAAAAAAGGTATACTGAGAATCTGTTCATCCCACCAAAAGAAAGTATCTGACGAACAGCTACAAATTTTCTTGATGTTTATTTTTATCACAAGGAAACTAAACTAAATTAATATAAATTTCTTGACCAAAAGTAAAGCAAAAATGCGTAACCATAAAATTTTGACAGGAGCTCAGCAATTCGGAATCGCCTTTAATAACCTTGTAGAATAATGCCAATATACATTTTTTTGTACATTTTACATTAGCCAGTAAGTGAATTTAGTAGGGGAAGCATTGACATTAATAATCTATATGAACAAAATTTAATTTTTGAGCATGAATACGAACACGTCGTGTCGAATAGTGTCCGCCCTCGTTAAACCTCAATTTAGAGCCAAATAGTTGGTTAACTTTAAAAATGCTGTGTGTAGTCTGAGTGAATTGAAGTGTTGCCCGCTCGCTTCTAATCAAATTTTCCGTTTATGTTTGCTATTTCAGAACTTCCATTAACACAAATAGACGCACACACATACACAAGCACACTTTCACACACGCATATATGCGCATGGGTTAAATAACTTTTACTGCCAGCAGCATCTAGAAGTCGGGTTTTGCGTTTTTAACCTCTGCGCAACGACTGCTGCTGGTCGGTTGCGCTGGCAACGTCTTCCATCAAAATTGTTGGCAGCTTCTTAATGAGCATGCAAAAGTTTACCACACATTCACAGCCGTAAAGACAGCACACTGCCATACAAACACACACACACACACACATATATATACTAAGAGGGGGTGAAAGTTTTGCTGCTATATGGCTGTAAGTTTAATAAAACTAATTGTTAATTTAATTTGCCAGCTCGTCGTTAATTGTTGGCATGCATAATTGAATAATAACTGACGCAGGCAACGCAACAGAAACAACAATTCTGCTCAGTTGTCCTCTGTCATTGTTTACACACACATATTACAGCTATATTTCAAATGTGTGTTCGTGCTGTCACGTCTCGGGTTAAAGCCTACATAGCAGCAACAATTTCCCAGTGAACGTTGCTTAAAATAAGTTGTGGTTAAAGTGCTTTGTTTTAATTGAAGTGCATTGCATGCGCTGCAAAATATGAGAAACAATGCAAAATTTAATCTAGTTTATTATTGATCTGTGCAACAGTGGAGATGCCACAAAATTTATTTAATTGAATTCGTATTTAAAATGCACACAAATTGTTGTTGCCAATTACCAATTGACTTGTGCACACTTGACTCGCTCTTGACTTTTCCCTTTGCCCTGGGAAAATGCTGTTTGCTGGCGCACAAAACGCAGTTTTACCATTAGACCTTGTACTCATTACGCATACACAATGTGAGCCGCACAAACACACACACGCTTACACAAACGGAAAAACTAACTGCATCGCCAATTGTATTTCGCCCTTGCTTGCTTGTCCCTCTCTTTCGTTTCCATTTCTTTTCCGCTTGGGCTTTTTGCTTCGCACTCAACTTTTATTGTTATGACACTGAGCAAGTCAATTGGTTGGCAACTAACTAACTGTTTAGTTTTCTTGTTAGACCCGTCAACAGAGACATGAGCTGCATTTTGCATGTCTGTGTGCGAACACTTCTTGCGTGTAAGCCTTTCTTTCGCAAGCACATTGGAATGGTATTTTTCTTGAAGCTTCTGTTGGTTTTTTAGCTTTCCTTTGCAATACTTCAGGGAATTATCAATGCGTTTCGTCTTAGATAAAAAGAAGTATCACAAGGTAGTAAGCCCTTTGGCTTTGATGATTGTGTTAGGTTTCATCTGGAAAACACATTTTCTTTAGTCAAGTATTATGATAATTCTTCGAGTTTTTCCTTTGACAATAATATTTTTTCTTGCACAGTCAAGAAATGACTCAATACATGCTCTGATAAATCTTTCGATTATGATCGACTAAAAAGGTTTTCATTTAGGAGACAGTTTTATTAATTTGCAGGGTATTCGCCTGCTTTATACTCCATTGGAATTTAATATTTTAATTTTTGCCGTGTCTGAAAATTGATTGACAGCCACTTTATTGGACTTTTTTATTTGAGGCTTAACAACTTTTTGGGTGTTGTTGCTCTTCACGAAAATATTGTGCACTTATAGATTTTTTTCATCATTTTCCATCAGTCAAAATTGGTGTCTCTCTTGCTAGCTGAACTTTAAGTTCTTGGTACATCTGTTTTGCTTTGTTTTGTGCGCTGCTTATGGGCCCCAAAAACTTTTTGGCCGTGTTGTTGTTTATTTATTATAATCATTTGCCAAAGTTATGCCTGACTTTTATTGTTGTTGTTGTTTGCACTTGTACTCAGCTGTATTCTTGTTGGCTTTGTTGTTGCTGCGTCTTCTAATGAATTCAATTAGCATTCATATTATTCATACACTTGATTCACTTGCTTTGACTCTGGCGCATTGAATAACATTTATTTGCTCGTTGTTCGGGTTGTTGTCTTTGTTGTTATCTTTTCTTTTTACTAATGCAAGTCAGCTAAAGTTTTTGTGTGGTCCTTATAAAACTAATAAACAAATGATTTGCTACGCAAACTTTTGTACATTTGGGGCCTTGAAATGGCCCTAAGCCGCTCTCGACCTGGCCACTTGACTCAATTGCCTTAAAATAATTGGCCAATAATTCAGTAAAAATGACCACTTAATTTTGGTTTCATCATAATTTAGTGGCGCTCTGCCCTTTACAGCCAATATTCACACATACACACACACGCACACACACATACACATAGACGGCACGCCAATGCCTGGGGAATTGCCGGAAGTACAACGTCGTATCCGTATTCACAAGTGTTTCGGGCAAATTTGAAGAACACTTGAAGGTCAATCTATCTAGACCATATTTTTGCCATTTCAAAACGAGTTGTAGACATTTGCATACATAAATTATAAAGGCGAAAACCCTGAACATGCAATACTTAAGAGTACAACTTTTAAATATATGTATTTATATTTAAAGTAGTTTAAGAATCTGAATTTACATATAGTTTATATCACTTTCTAACGCTTTTGTCGCTTTCTCTCATTTGCGTACGCCGTCCGCAGTGAATAAATCTTGATAAATCTTTGGATTTAAAAAGTGTTTTTGTTACTTACATTATGCTTCCAGACAACTTTATAAGCGGCAGGATTTGCATGCACTTTACACTCGAAATAAACATCATCGCCTTCCTCGATATCCTCCGGATTTAGATTTGAGCCCAAATCCAGTTGTAAGGTGGGTATAACTGCAATAGGAAATAGTAATGAGAATACAGCTACTTCTTTTTACAAATATATATATATATATATATGTTTATACACAAACATGCATTTACATTTAGTGTATCTGTAGTGTGTATAGTTTCCTATGTGCTCCCTGGTCTTGGACATGGCCCAACCTGTCGACTGCAATTTGCTATAGTTTTTACTTTAGGTCAAGTTTAGCACAACAAAAAAAGAAAACAAAAAATGAAAGAAAATTCCCAGAAACGGACACAAAAAAGAGAATTGGGGTTAATCCTCGCTCATCTGTGATTAGTGTCGCTTCGAAGGAGTACGTGCCCCGCCTCACATTCCTTACCATTACCTTCATTGGCAATGGTTTCTTATTATTTTGCTCAATGTTGTTGCCTTTCCTCCTTTTAGTTTGGTCTTGGGATGTGCTTACTGTTTTCTTTTGCCACGTTTTATAAACAAGTTTCTTTAAGCCGATTTTGCGCTTTGCAAAGACTTGTTAATGAAAATGAAAATCGTTCGCCTAAGCCCAGAAAATGACAGCTAGCTAGAGAATTGAGTAAAAAACGTTAAGCGGAGACAGAGACAGAGAGAAACATAGACAAAGGCATACACAAAAGTTGTTTGCATAATTTAAAGACCTTTTTTCCTGCTGCTCAACAAGTTCATTAACGTTGACTTTAAGCTTAGTTTGTTGCTGGCAAAGCACAATACTCGCTTCTGGCAAGTGGCTGCTTGGCTGGCTGGCTAGCTGGCTGGCCACACTGTTGCGGTTAGATGGGCTTAAGTGGTAATAACTGTCACTGGCCAAGCTGGTCAGCAGCAGCCTTCGCCCAAACTGGCCAACTTTACTTGGCTAATGCATTTTATGGCACACAGTCCAACTGCAACAGCTCAAAAGCAAAGCAAGCCCGAAACCCGTAACTGCAGCTTAACGTAACGACTTTTGAATGCCGCTGCCACACTTTGTAGTAGACATTGGCAATGTGCTCCAGTGGTTGCCACTCCCTGCCGGCTGCGCTCGTCCTACTCCTCATTTTGTTCCTAGTGTGTGAGGCCTGTCATTGTCTGTTGGGTAAAAAGTTGAACGACTGCTCGTTAGCAGCCCTTAAATTGATTCCATTTGCTTCTGTTGCTGCTACTTCTGGCTCTGCCTCTGCTACTGATCATATAAATTACATTAACTGGAAAGTACTTCTGTCCTGGCCTGGCCAAGTAAAACGGAGAGAAATTGGCTTAGAGTAAAATTAATTGCAAATGGCAGATGTGCAGTGTAAATAGTTTTGAAAATAATGTGCATCCAAACTTGCTCGCAACTTCTGTGGCAAGGATAATATTTTATGACGTGGGAAAAATCTAAAAAGAAATTTAGAGTAGGTCAATTAGGATCTACTTGTGCAATGTGTTTAAATTTTTGCGAAAGGCTATGAAATAGGCATTTGGCTCGTAAACGCTTTATTGTGTTCATCTAGACTGTTTAATGAAACCTTTATATTCTCTCCGGCCTAGCATCTGAGAATTACATCTGGAACTTAGAACCAAATCTGTTCACTTTTGTCGCTGTTACCTTGTTATTGTTGGTTGCTATGACCAGATTCAAATTAAGTTAATATCTGAAGTAAACTTCAAATTTCAACTCTTTAAAAATATGCTCAGCAGCTGTAGACCTTAAAGTATCTTTAAATTAAAGCATTCTTTCCCACCCTTCTCGATGACCTTTCATATTTTTCACCCTGTCAGCACATGTTTACAGTCAGCTTTGGCGGAACTCCCCTCTTTACAAGCAAACAGTTTGAACACACTTATTTATTGCCTGGACATTGTCCATATTTTGCCATCTTGGTCCTCTTTTTGGGTAGGTGCTGCGTCATTATTTTTATTGCGGATATGACTTTAATTTTTAGTGGTTTCCGTTTCATTTAATTTAAAATGTTAATGCGAGTTGATTGTGCGGAAAATTAAATCTCTGCTTAGCTTCACGCTTTCTTTTTGGGTCAAGGTACAAGCTGAGAAATAAGATTTTAGATAACTTCATCTTATGACAGTTCTAATATAATGTGGAATAATGGAACAATTATTGGCTGCTCATTTGCAGCAAATTGCAGGGAACTTTTCAATTTACCCCCCAATGCAAACAACGAGCGCGCTTAAAGAAGACACAAAATCCTGCAAGCACGCGAGAGGAAATCACAGGAAGCAAGGGGGGCTGGGGATGGGGAGGAGGTTAGGAGACCAAAATATTTTAAGCACGCTATAAACATGTAAATGAGCATGGAAATTGAAATTGTTATCTAATTTTTTATATCAGCAAGCGACGCGCGTAAAATTGAGAGTCTGCTTCGAGGCGCCCACGCAGACAGCTTTGGTTTGCGCTGGCTCGGGCGCTGCTCCTGCGGCAGATCCTGCTGCTGTTGCTGAAAGGAGTAAAAGTTTCCTTGGCATTGGGGAACGTTGCGCAAAAACTCTTGGATAATAGACGTGGCAACTGTTTGCCTAACGACAACGACAACGGCAGCGACAACGACAACGACTACGTTGGCAAAATTCTTGAGACTATTGAAACATAAATGAGAGCACTTCGATATACTTTATGTGTGGGTGTGTGCGTGGGTCAAAGTCTTTGAGCCGACACTATGCCAAAAACACTCATATTGAGCCATATGGTAGAGCGCAAGTTGGCTTTTTTAATATCTTAGCATAGAAATTTTATTAACAAACTTTGAGCGCATATTGTTGACTTGGCCCATAAAATAAGCGCTTGACATTCGGGCTGAAATCGCGAAAACAAAAGAAAAATCCCCATGTCTACGAAATTTATATGCAAATCAGTATTGATTCCGAGGACACGGGTGATAAGCGCTTGGCACAGTTTATGGCATTGCCGCCGCTCCTCCCAGCTCAAGCCCCGCACCTTAGCTAGTTTATGCGCCACTGACAGCCATAAAATAAAGCGCGTGTTCAACATGCATGTAATTATTTGACAGGGGTAGCTACCCCTTACCCCTTGGGAAGCGCACAAGTTTTATTGACTTTGCGTTCAACTGGGTCCAGGTTGTCCCATTTGTTTGAATTGAATAATATCTTTCTGAAAGCGGGTCAGGCGACTGTCACATTTGCATTTGCCATTTACCATCTGACTACTGATTAACTGCATTAGCTCGATTCAAAAAGCCAGCCACAATATATATGTCAGTTAATATTGTCTTTAGTTATACCAATGCATGTGTGTTAAAGCTGTCAGCTGAAAAGCTGACTGAAAACGTGCCCATTAACAATCCCAAAACATAGTATTCCCATTTAGCATGTATTTTCAGGAATCGTTTCTTTTGAAATACTATTTATTTTGGGATATATAATTTTTATACTCATTCAGAAAGTGAGAAGAGCTTGTGGCTTATGTGTAATGTCTATATTAACGTAATTTCCTTCAAGTTCGGGACAATTTCAGCAGTTTGTCTATTGCGGAATGTTTATGTATCCTATAGTTTGAAGGCTATAGTTATTAATACTGTGGCCACGCCCACCCTCGATTCAGGAATATGAAAAACTTGATTTCTTTTACAGTTTTTATGATTGCCAGAATTATTATTATACTTTTATTTTACCATTTGTTTTCAATTTTTTGTTTTTTATTAAGTATAAAAAATTAACATTTTGAAGCTTTCAAATGATTGATTGATTTTGAATCTAAAGTTAAGGTACATTAGATAATAACATAGAAATAATCAGAATTTCGAATTTGGTGAACTTATGCCTTTCAAATTTTATAATTTATGTTTTTAAGAAACGTTTATGTTTGTGTAAAATTTCCTCTTAACTCCCTTTAAAAAAAAAAAGGAATATATTTTTCTAATAAATTTTGAGCTAATAGGAACTTTTCGCGTTTGAACCTAGCAAATTGTTGGCATTACTTTAACAATTTATAAAGTTTTGTAGTTATCTGTAGCCTAACCTGTTTTTATTTCTAAATATTTAAGAACAAATTCTTTCTTTTACTTACAGAACACATTTAGCTTCATTGCGGTCTCTCGTATGCCATTGCGTACCAGTTCGTTGGTGGCTCGGCAGGACAGCGCCTTACCATGATCCTCCCTTGTCGGGGTTATAGAGAGTATTGAGGTGCTGGCATTGCCGTCCTCAGAGACCTGCGAGGGAAAAAGTGATCCTTTCGGAGGTTTTGTTTGGCTCAGTTAATGTGTCACTCACCTTCTGACTGTGGCCGTGCATCTCCAGGTTGCCCATCCACCAGGTTATTTTAGCAGGTGGCCTTGATCCAATTGCCTGGCACTCAATCTCATATTTACGGTCAGCCGACATTGGCTGATTGTTGAAGCTGATTTCCACCAGAAGCGGACGAACTGCAAATATGCAACCGTGTGTATGTGTGTGCGTGTGCGTTCGTTTATATTTGTACACATTAATATTTATCGTTAATTTATGTGTTTAAATGCCGTTTAAGCATATTTTTTTTTTATATTTTAGTTCTTTCTTTTTACCATTTTTGTTTATTCATTCAAATTGCGTGTGAAAAATCGAAAACGCAATGAAAATGGACAAGCAATGCAATTAAAATTAATTGCAACGAATTACGAGCGCAGCGCTCGTTCAACAGCTGTACAACAAGAACAACAAGATTATCATTGATTGTAGCAATATCAATATATTTATATAAGGCTCATACAAATAAAAAACAAGGCTAGTGCATACATACGTAAATATATATTGGCTTTCTTTGGTGCCTGCAATACCCAATACCTGTAATATTTAATTATAAATTGTATCATATAGATGTTTTATTTATTGATGTATGATGTGTTTGCTTTAACCTATTTCAAGCTTTTAAATATTACTTACAAAGCGATATGAGCAATGGCCAAAGTTGAATAGCTCCAATGAGCTTAAAAGCTGCCAATCAAAAAAATAATAAAATAATAATAATAACCAAAACACAAATTTGTAACTGCAATTTAATGTTCTAATGCATCATTTGAATAGTTAAAATAAATACATAGTGTAGCTTTAAAATAATTGCCGATTGTCAATTGGCGTTAAATATTTTGGCCCGAAAGTTCATTTTCAAATCAAAACAAAAAGTCAGCAATGAAATATGCATATATATTTATCTGAATATCTGTATATGCATTCTGACCACATGCGTGTTTGGGGCATAATGTGAAATCTTGTTAATATTTATTGTGGCTGCAAATTGTTTACATGCTAAATTAAAAAGCGAAAACACACATGTTTGGGTGTACGTGTGTATAGACATATTTGCTAAAATTGTTCATAAAATAAATAAAAACACTGTCACGTAATGTGGCCAGGTTCATTATCGCGTTCACACATTGTTGTCATAATATTGCCTAGAAAACAAATTTGTTTACTTTTTTCGTTCGTAGTCGTTTTTGCTGTGTTCAATGAAAATGCAATTTAAATTATAAATAACGAATTTCAATATTCAGGGCGTTATATAAATAAATATCATTTGCAGGACGTATTGCAATATTCTCTTCCAGACCTCGTATCTCGGATGGATGATAGGCATAACATTAATTTTTGATTTTTTTGTTTGAATACCCTTTACAGGAGTATATCATATTTTATTAGCACATTTGTACATCACTTGGAAAACTATATAAGGCAGTTAAATAAACTTGATCGTTGCTTTATAATTAGTGAATTTAGCCTTGTAGTTATATATGTATATTCAGTCGTCGTATATTTTCATGAACTAACTCAGATTGCCTTAAAAACAATAGTCAAGTTGTATGCATCTAAATAAAACACCCAACGTGTTGGGTCTTTTGTCGCGGTCTAATTTAAATAAAAAATGTTCTACGTTTGTGAGGGTATTAAATCTATACCCGACCCAATGTGTCTGGTTCTCGACTGCATTTTATTTTTTATATGCCATGAACTATGCATTTGGTAGGCTACAATTTTTTGCAGTAACTGTTGTTTTTTCATTTATTGCGGTTGGCCGCGTATTTTATGCATTAATTTAAAGGCATGACATTTCAGTTGAGCCAAAATGAAATGAAAATGAAGTAAAAAAAGATGTATATGTATACATATAATAACCTACAACATTTTATATATTCAAACCGCATTTTTATGTATGATATTGTATACGTGTATTTGCTATATTCTTATTATTCTGTTTTTATTGAAGCAACAATTGCTTATATGTGTGTGTGGTTTTTTCAGTTACACTTGATTGTAATTAAATTAATTATGCCCATTTGCATTGGAAAACCATTTAAATGTTTAATTAAACATACTACAAAAAACCAATAGCGCATCCAATGCCTGAGTTTGATTACTTATGCAAACGAACGTTTGTAATTATTAAATATTAAAGTGCCCAAGAGTTTAAATTAAATACTAACACAAGTATGAATTGCTTAAGAATTTTCAAAACATATAAAATGTACTGATTAAATACCCTATAATAAATAAAAATACAACAAAACTTTATGAAAAAAAAATCTAAAGTTTTGTTGTTAATTTGTGTGTCACAGTCTGAGTAGCACATCATGTGTTGTTCATAAATAAACTAAGTAGATTGATTATAAAATCCGCCTCGATGCACGCGCAGGCATATTAATATGTTAATACCTTAAGTAAAGTAAAAGTTTTAATCGTTAACAAAAACAAAATAAAGCAAATGTTTTATTCAGGGTATAAACAAAGCAATTGACAGTTCATCAATGTTGGCTTTTTATTTTATTTGCACTGCCAGCTAGTTTGAGCAAGTTATTTAAAATATGCGCTAATGAGCCTCGATGCCTGTGTGAGAGTCGTGACATTAGTAATCTAATTGTTAGTGGCCATAAAATTACCTAATTAAGGTCATACTTATTATTCAAAACTTTTTGCCTGCCTGCGACACGCACAGGGCCACAGCAAAACAAATTTTTGGGGCCACGCAACAAACCGACACACTCCTCTTTCTCGCTTGCCACTATCCCAATCCCAATCCTGTTGGCCAAGGTTAAGTGTTGGCACAGAACACTAACATACTTGGGAAGGTTTGGATGTCTAAGGTAATATGTCTATACCTGATGTCTGCCATATTAATTAACACGAATTAAAGAGTCAATGACATTCCTGTTGTTTGTGCTCCTGTTGTTGTTGTTGTTCTTGTTGTTGGCCACTTTAGTAAACGCGTTCACCCAATAATTTCAGAGCGTTTATTATTGGCGTGTTAAATTTCATGATATCTAAGTGCGACATGCTTATTGCACGTACACACACATAAACGTGTGTGTGTGTGTGTGTGTGTGAGTGTGTGTGTGTGGGCGAAATAATATCAAATATGCGCATCACCATCTGTTGTCGCAAAACATTTTTACTTTTATTAGCCCAAGCCTAAGTAAAAATTGACAGCAATTGCTTTTCTTTTTGGGGACACTGAGAGCAGACGGTAAGAGATGGATAGAGAGGAGCGGGAGGGAAGCCCAAGTGCCATAAAATTCAATGGCCAATCTTTGGCTGTTAGCGCAATGCCTTGGGCATAATATTTGGCAATGGCAATGGCTGCCAGGAGCTGAAGCTGATGCTGGATCTGACGCAATGCAACAAGACCAGAGCTCTGGGTATTGTTTTGCCAAAGTTTCTTTATTTATTTGCTGAAATAACGGCACTTTACATGAAATTATTATTAAAAGAACGCCATTCCAAAATGCCATCGCGCGACTATAAAAACGGCATTTGTTGGCGGTTAGCAAAGTTAATGACTAACTAATGTTATGCACTGAAAGTTTCAGGAATTTAAGAGAAGATGAAAAATGCTGCAAATGGAAACTCGAACATCTCAAAAATTCTTACTTGACTTTATACCAGATATCAGTATTTAGTTTTTAGCGAAATATAATTATGATATATAACTACCATACATACGAATCAATTTAATTAAATTAATTAAGGTAAGACAAAAAGATTACTTTTGATTCAATTTACTATTTCAATAGCAAATTAACAATTGTTTTAAGCTCAGCCATATATTATGAATATCAATGTGAAAAATGCAATTTCTATGCAAGATTTTAATTTGCATAGTGAAGAAAAGGAAAAGAATATAAACCAATTAAAATAAACGTTTAAAAAAATTTAAAAAAGTCGTTTAATAAAGCGGTTATGCGTTATTACCAAAATAATCTTCATTTTTAGTTCAAATGTTACACAATTAATAAGTATTTATTTCATGCTGTATGCTCAATGAAAATTCAGTTGATGCGATGCAGAAAGTGAAAAACTTAATTCTGGTGGGAAATACAAACGTTGTACGTTGAATAATAAGAAAATGGAAAATTGAGTTTGTAAATTGCATAAAAGCAAATTGCACATCAGCATTTTACACAATCCTGATTGGATCAAAGCGAGCAAATACTAATAAGGCTTAAGGGATCAAGCCCTGAACTGTACACTCCCAAATACATGCATATACGCAGACAGAAAAACGTACACACCTACAGATGGAAACAAACACAAATTGGCTGCAATTTAATTCAATTTATCAATTTGCAAAGCAATTCAGTGTCGCGCGAAAGGGCAATTAAAAAAATGTTCACAAAATAATAAATCCGTTTGAAAATACACTTGGATACCACAAATTCATACACGTGCATATGTCTGTGGGTCTGTATGGGTGTGTGTATGCGTTAAATGCGACGAATGTTCTGCCAAAATAAAATATGCTCAAAGTAAAAGCAGCTGTAGCCAGGACATGCACCGGGACAGGACGCTATTGAACAGCCGTTGCGCGCAGAATTTCAAAGCTGCATTTTTTGTTGCTATTGTTGTTGTTGCTGATTTCATTTTTTTTTCATATTTGCATAAGCTATTTTATTATCTATTATATTTTTTTGTGCCGTTTGTTGTTGCCTGTGAATGGGTTTTATCTGCGCAGCTATTTGTTAAAACTTTTATCGCAACGCTTAAAACCGTGCTGTGGGTCGGGTCAGCAGCAAAAAAAAAATAAATAAACTGTTGGCCAAACCGTTTTTAGCACCATATTTCGTGCTGTTGCTGTTGTTGTTTTGTTGTTGTTGTTGTTGTTCTTGTTGTTGCTGGCGTCTGCAAACGCTTGAAACTCAATTTAAAATTTTCAATTTAATGCATAGTTAAAAGTGGCAGAACACGAACCCGAAGTCGACATATCAAATCAGAGCACAATTTGAGCCGAGGGCTTACCCACATACATATGGCCTTAAAGTTCAAGTTAAAGTTACACAGTACAGTTGGGCTATACTTACGATAGAGCTCAATCGTTATGTTGGTGGCCACATATTTCTTGTGGAAATTGCTCGCCTGGCACGTGTAAACCGCATGCTGGTGGATGCGTGACAAGTTACGCACCACCAATTTGCTGTTGATGGTGCCGTCGTATGTGTAATCGACAACGCTATTTTGAAGTTGTCCATTCATCAGCCATGTGACAGTCGGCGGCGGCGAGCCTGTGAGGGATAACCAGAAAACATGTACACAAATAAGAATGCTTTAAAGTTGCCGTTATTGTTATTGGAATTAAGCTTGGGGATTTGGGTGTACTATGGGTCTTATTATTATTTCTTAATAAAGGGATAATCCCTTCCTAGAAAAGAAAATTAATGACATTTTCCAATAAGTTCACTTTACAAAATTTAATGCTAACCCCTTAATAAATAACCCTGAAAGGAGAATAAAATTTATATTTATCATTCTGGAAAGCCCAATTCCTTTTTTAATATTTCCCAGTAAGCGTATTTTTTAGTAAGCGTCACATATTTAGCAGTAAGTACTCATTGATTTGAGTCTCTCGTTTAGTCTTGTGTTATGCTAGCTAACTAGACGCTATCAACGTTGTCGCTGCCCATTTTGATGTTGTTGTCGCTGTTGTGTAGCTGGCATGGCACTTAAATTAACACACATTACTCATACGCAGCGTGTGGTACTTGGCCGCTCTTAACGACTTCAACTTAATCGAGCAGTGAAATTAGCTTTTGTGTGCGTATATGAGCGCACATTAATTTAATAGCTGCGGGTAGGCCAGATCTACGAGGTGCAAATAAAAAAGAAAACAAAATAAATACACTGAACGAAACCAAAAGGTAGCTGAGTCAGGGATTTGATAGGGAAACCACTAAAGGGCCTAACTGAGTACTTGTTGTGTGTTGTAAGCGCTCTATAATTAGCTGTGCTATCATTATTATGAACTTGGTTAGGTACTATAATACAACTTTGTACACCTTCATACTTGACTGTACTGAGAAACTGAAAGTTGACAAGAGCTGCAGCTGATATGTGCTCTACTCCTCATCTTTGTTGTTTTGTATTTAATTTTTATTTTCCAGAGAGTTTTCTGATCATTATTTTGCAGCGTGTAGTTTAGACAGATCGTATATTAGAGTAGGCTCATTTGGCTACCATTATATTTTACATATAATTCAAGTATGTTTATTTTTATACGAAATATTGCGTTGCTGTTCTAGGTTACTGCCAAGTGCCATCAAATCCACCTGGATATTCAGCAAAACTAACTGCAGTTTATACCTATGAAAAATGTCACACACACACATTCATGTGTCTACATATATCATACAAATAAACGCACATTACTTTGATTAATAACTGCCATTTGGTTGAGTTTTATGTTGTTTATAAAAATATTTCACACACTCAAACGAACAGCTCTCTATGCATGCGCACACACACACACATGCACCTATATGTGTGTTTTGGGGTCGCAACATTTGTCTGCGTATGTATGCACGTGTGTGTGTGTGTGTCAGTAGATTAGCGCATATGTACCATGCGGCTTAATGGTCGCCTGTGATTTATTAGCCTCACAGAAACACAAGCAAAGAGCGTGGAGGAGATTGCGAGACAGGAGGGAGAAGATAGCAGAGAGCCAGTCCAATAAAACAAACAAAAATTGGCCAACAGGCCAAATTTGATTTGGAGTTGCAATTTTTTTCCAGCTGCCACGCAGCTTAAAGCAATTGTAGCAAATGTTGCAAGTTCGCCTAGTGCTTCGCTGTGCTGTGGCAATGTGCGTGCAGTTCGCTCATAAATTTAACTAATTTGCCTCGCGTTCGCTTTTGCTTCACAACTTTCCCCGTCCTCCGCTCAACGTCAAAATTTAATTAGCGTCCAGACGTTGCCTCCGCCCACTACAAGCCCCTTTGTCATTGTCTTTTATTGCGACCGTTTGGCGTGTTTATCGCTTGGCTCGACTTTCGCTTTCACTTTAAAGTCATGCCAGCTGTTCCCAGATTTTCTCATTTAACACAAGGTGCCAACATACAAATAGACAAGTACACACGCAAGCACATGGCACATACTTGTGTGCAAATATGTGCTCTATATGTGCCTTTTGTGACTGAAGCAGCAGCTAACTTGCATTGCACTGGAAACACACATATTTACTATATGCAGCTTTACATGCTTTATACCCTGTAAAAATGAAATATTTCCATGCATTTTTTAGGCAGGAGGGAACTGGGTTATCAGTCAGCTCATGTGTTGCTGGAGTCTATAACAAAATATTATGGATTTCCTTTTTAGAGCGAGTTGCCAATTATATCTCTCGTAAATTAAATAAAATGGAAGTACTAAAAAATTGTTGATTAAATTCCAACCTTCACCTAAGCTTAAAGGTATTTTTAAGCTAGAATATTTAGTTCAACAACTTTATCTTAATTATTAAAATGCAATGTAATAACATGTAAAGGTACCTTAATTATTAAAATACAATGTAATAACATGTAAAGGAACCTCTCTCTCTCTCTCTCTCTCTAATACATGATTTGTAAGAGTATCTTTTAGTCGTGCTATTTTTCTCTAAAGCCTTTTTCTATTATTTTTATATTATTATTTTTTGCAAGTGCAGCGCTTTTTTCGAGCAGGGTAAAAATGGGTTTTTGTGCCAGCAGCGACAATTTAACATTGCTTTGTCACGCCCAGTCCAAACTCTGTTGCCAGCACGCCCCTTCCCTAATGAGCAGCAGCATTCACATGCGTGCTAGTTTGTTTTTTTTTATACTCTTTTAGTACTCATACTTCTCTGCAGACTTTGTGCCAACTTAAAGTCGTAGCATACTCTTCAGCGTAAACCTTTCTCGCTAATGCACGCGTCGGCTGGCTGAGTTCTCGTTGCTCATTGTGCTATTTGCTCGTAGAGAGAATACGAAAGAGACTAATGCAGTGCGAGTGAGAGAGACAGAGAGTGGTAAATGTGTGTGCTTGGACTTGGCTTAGTTATGCAATGCTGAAATATTTGCTTATGTAGTTTTGCATATCTTTGCATCTTTTGCATCTGCTGTGTGGGTGATACATGCAGCAGACGAGTGAAGAAAACACAAAGTGCAGTATATATATCTATATATATATATATATATATATATATATATATGTTTATATGTATGTCTAAGATAAAACAGCGACTGTAACAACTGCCACGTCTGCTGCTGATAGTTGCAAAAATGCACTACCACATAAATATTTTTTATGCTGTTGTCTTTTCTACACTTTCAGTTCTTCCTTTTCGGTACACTCTGTGCGAGTGTTTTTTTGAGCCTGTCTGGTGTTTGGCATTTGGCTTTTTGTACCCAGCCAACAACCATTGAGGAAGCTGTAAAATAAATTTAAGGACTGCTTCTGGCTGGTGCCCTCGCTTTAAAAGCTGCGCGCAAAGCAGCAAACAAAAACAGGAAACAACTTGCATTCAATCTCTTCTTGAATTGCTAAGTTGTCATTTGTTCTAGAAAGTTGGGAGGATGGGCTGGGGCGATTCGGCGTCCTCTTGTTCAGTTTGTGTTACCGCATTTAGTTGGAACAAATAACAGACATCTGCATGGGGTCGAAAACTTTGCTGACGCGGCGCATGAATTTTAATGCGAATTTTCAGCCAACAGAAGTGCTAGCTGATACAAATACTGTAATACGAGCTAATCTCTCAATGTACATTAAAATGAGTATATGTGCGCAAATAAACTACCTCCAACAAAGGCTGAACAAAATGATACACCTTTTTTAGGGCTTACCTTTAACTATATTAAAATAATCGCAGCTCAATTTGGTATACTAAATATTCTAGGTATTTGTGTAAAAAAAACAACGAAAGATCGACATATCAATCTTTATCAAAGCAATTATTACCAAATTTATTACCGAATTTATATATAATTTATTTTTATTTGCCAAGCGGCAGCGACAGGCAACATTTGAAACGACTACATATAAGTATAGATTTTGTGATTGGAGTATGTATATTGAAGGTAAGAAGTCATAACATATGCATTGTATATGCTTTATTGGCTAAGATTTTTTTTAAAAGAATGCAAATTAGTCGGAAAAAAGATGTCTCGATACTGAATGTTTCAATACATCAACGCATCATTTTTTGTAAGGCTATTTTCTTATCTGATGTTCAAAATCGATGTTCCTTACGGACACACATCACTATTTCTAAGCATATCACCAGAGCCGTAATATCCCCTTTCTCCTAGTTTCTTCTAAGCATGTTATTTCCATAAACTACAGATGATCGATTTTCAGAATCGATCAGAAAATAAAAAAGTAATTCAGCTAAGTGCTGATGCATTACTACTTCCCGCTTAACATCAACTAAATCTATAAAAGTAAATGTATTTTACTTTACTTGCTGACAGTGCAGCACGCCCATTTTGGCGGATGTAACTGACGTGCGGCTAGCGCCACAAAATTTGCCTATAAAAAAGATGCCACATTTAAAGGCCGTCACAGTAAGTGCAAAATGACTAAAATATTATGCAAAACAGCAAGAACAGCAACAACAGTTGCGAAATTTGTGGCATGCATTTTACAACGAAGTCTTTTTATGCTTCTCTCAATTTTTTGTTGTTGTTAGCTCCCTTCGCTTTGTGGCAAACAATTTCATGCCAGGCTCCCCGTATTGTTACATTTCCGAGCTCAAAATATGAAGAAAAAAAGAGAAAAATTTTAATAAAAATGCACACAATTTTGTAACCTGGCCACAGCAACAAAACCAACAAAAAACAAGGGGAGAAGCAAAAGTAGGGGCAATTTTCACAACAACAACAACAAATAAGAAATGAATATTTTTACTGTGTGCGCACTTTGGCAAGAGAGGAAAACGCCTGCACTTCCGCTTGACACACACACGCAGACTTTCCTGGCTGTTGTTCTTCTTTATTTTATTTTACTAGCCAACTCGAGGTACTAGGGAGAATATGTGTGGCAACGTTTTGGCCAACGAAAGCCGCCGCGAGTTAAATTCATGACGTGCAACGCGAAATATTATGTATTAGTAGCCGTGCTAGGCGAGTCCTTTTTAGAGGCGTTGCCATCTAGTCACAATGCTGAGCACCGAGCTTGTATAATGCCCCATGATGCCTTATGGTTGCTGGGGGTGGTAATTTTTACTGGCACCACAGACTGTGCGGCTTTATATCTTTATTTCTACTCCAGCATTTGGCCCTGTTGGCGTGTCGCGCTCATTTGCAACAGTTGCCAGTCGCGTCCGTTCTGCCCCTTCCCCTGCTGCCTAACTGCAATAAAATTTAGTGCTACTTTGTCGATTTTGCACACCCTCAAGCTACCCAAGCAAGCCAAATTACTTGGCATAGGCGCGCGTTCATTGCCATTCCCATCAACTGCTCCGCTTTGACTTACTCCTGCTGATTGCACTTCTTTGAGTGGCAACTGTTTTTTTTTTTGACTTTTTTTAAGCTCTTTTTTTTCGTAACCCACACTATTACAATTTTTGTAATGGACTTTGCATGTTGAGTGCCGGTTTCAAATTTGCTCCCTTTGTCCTGTCTTTCCTGATTGCCAGCTCAGGAATGATTGCCCGACATTTGCTAGTTAATTATTTCCGGCTTCTGTTTAGCATTTAATTGCATAGATTCTTAAATTGACACATAATTATGGGAACGAAAAATAGAAGTGAATTAAGGGTGTGGCCGAGATATCAAACAAATTAGAAACGAATCTATTTTTGTGATACGCAACCCTTTTATAAGAAAACGTGTCTAAATTTAATTGTGCATTACTTTATTGCTCCAACAATGTATTTTAATTTAATAAAATATGAATTTTCACTACTACATTTTAAATTGAAAGCTTTAAAAATCACAACTATTTTTTTTATGAATTAGAAATTATTTCCACAATTATTTATAAAGTCCTATTTGGTGCTCATTTGCCATTCACTTTGAGTCTAGCAACAGAAAGTGCTTTCGCTTAGCTGTCAACAGACTTGACCAACTACTTGCCGGAAACTTGTAATCCGTGCGAGCCACCCCTCAATCGTTTTCCACCCTGTCAGCAAGTTGGTGGACAAGTGTACATATGTATTCACATTTGTACTTTTATATGGTCGTACATTTAGCAACAATTTCTTGGCCCCGTTTAATTGGCACATACTACAGTTTGAGTGCCCAATTTTTTGTGGTTGTAGCCCGCCAAGTGGGTTCGGGTGGGTCAGTCAACCCGTTAGATTAAGCCCGCCCAGGCAGTTGCCAGTTGGCAGTTGCCAGTCCAGAGTGCAGTTTTCTTGCTGGTGATTTATTTTATGTCAACGTTGACATGTCAAACCATTCAAAGTGGTTTCGCTTCCGTTTTGGCCAGAGAGTTTCACCAGTTCGTGGTTCGCAGTCCGCAGCGATAAAGCACGCGATTGCTGTGCTTGCTGTTCTTATTCTTGTTGCTCTTCCTGTTGTTCTTGTTGTTGTTGTTGTTGTTAGGGTAGAGTGTGACATACTTACTGTGAGTGTAAGCCATTGTTATTTGGCCCGGCTTGAAACACAAGGCTCCGTATTGCCACACAATGCCCAGCGTTGAGTGTTTTTTCTCACTGTCGGCATTTTTTTTTTTTTGGACTTCGTTATCATCAATTGACTCAAGTGTTATATGGCACATACAAATATGTATGTGAATGTGTGTGTGGGTGTGTGTGTGTTAAGAAATTGTTGTCAGGTTGTCGCCCATGTTTTCAATGCTGGAATGTGCCTGCCGGCTACCCCCTTTTATTTGCTTAACAATTGTTTGGCTATGCTCAAAGGCAACGTTTTCATTCTTCGGATTAACTTGCCTTTCCCCCTCCGCCTCCCTTTTCCTTTGCCATTCCCTCTGCCAACAGCCCCGATAATTTTTAATCCTTTTGTGCGCTTGGTATATATTTGAGAAATTGACTTTGGCGTTCTCTTTGCCATTCGCTTTCAATTGGCTTTTTGTTCGGTGACTTTTGTTGTTCGCTTCTTACAATTCCAATGTTATTTACCTTATTTATTATTTGTTGTTTATGCCGCGACCCATTGTTTGTTTGGCCGCGTACACACCAGGCCACCCCAGACCATCCCAGGCCACTGCGGACAACATTCCAGCGAATTGTTTTTCATTTCTTAGAGCGATTTTAATTTCTGATAGGTTTCGTGCACGAAAATTTATGTTTTAACGATGCCTGTAAACTTTAATTGCTGATTGGATTTCATAAAACCAGACCGAGGAAGTTATATTTGTTGCTTAATGCTTAATGCTAAAACTCGTTTACTTACCGCCATAGACGACACAGGTAACTTCTAGGCTGCCGCCTTCTTCGTAGGGGCCCGCACGGGAATCGATGCGCAAGCGACGATCATTGTAAATGTTCGGCTGATGTGGAGGCACTGTAGAAAGGGAAGGGAATTGGCCAATTAGTTATATGGCATTCATTTGCCCAATCAATTAAGTCTTAGCCAAATACCAAATTTGACAGTTTTAAACATTCGCCAGCCGCAAATCACATATAATTTGTGCATTGCAAAATATCAAAGGGAATGTGCCAACTGTGCCCTATATCGGCGCGGATATCCACATACATTTATAATATATGTGCATATACATATATTTGCATTTTAAATTGTATGTTTTGCGGCTAACCGAAAAATCATTTGAGCTAATTTATGCGTGCAGCGCGCAGAAAAAAAGGCCAATAAATGTTAATTGCATTTTTTTTACATTTCGACGTGCCAACAGGCAAATAATTTACATACAATAAATATGATAAAACAATATATATAAAAAATATATTTTTCTGAGTTTTGGGAACTTAAAGCGCTGCATCTGATAAACTTAATTTTATTTTTGATGAAATGCATTTATTTTCACATTTCATGTAATTTGGAATGAAAAGAAATATATTGAGGCATTTCTTATATATTAAATTATTATACCGTGATATTTTTCTGTGGGCTTTATACTAATATTTAAATCGTAAATGATTATGAATTTAATTTTTTTTTAAATTAATTGCATTGCGTTCACATTCAAATTTATTTAATTATAAATGTATTATACATTATTATTTATAAAAACTATTTAATTGCGTTAATGTAATATTACTTTTTTTTTTAATATGCTTCGCCAGTAAAAAATAAACATAATAAATTAAACAGTTGAGAGTATCCGAATCAAATCATCAATAATTATTTATATGAAATCAATACAAATGGATATCGAAATCCTGTGTTTTCATCATGTTTCGGAGCTTTAAAGAGCTAGAGTCCCAACTAGAACTCTCATACTTGATTTTTGTAAATCTTTTTATTGTCTTGAGTTAGTTTAGGTAAATGCGCGAGGCGAGGGCCTCGAATTATTTTAGTCCCTTTAAAATGTCTTTCCCTAAATGTTGTCCCCAAAAATTCAATTTTTTTATACACACCAACAACTTCCAAATTGACGTTGCTATTTCTGGTCTGCGATAGCTTAAAGTCCACTCGACAGCGAAAGTTGCCCGCATCCTTTTCCTGTTGTAAGGGGGTAACAAAAATTCAATTATGGATTGTTGTATTGTTGACACTTTAGCTTTAGCTTTTGCTATGGCCATTTGGGTTGACTTACCTTAACCGGATTTATAATCAATTCCGCTGGCTCCTTGTGCGTGCGAAAGACGGCCCGATCTTCGAGCACCTCCTCATCACGCCAATGTGAGGGCGTTCCTGCATGGGCTCCACGCGTGTCATAACTGTTGAAAACTCGGCACATTTGCTAAAGTTCAAATTAAAGTTCAACTCATTGAACTTACCTATAGATTGGCAAATTGTTTTTGTACCAAACAACCAGGAGCACCTTGTCATCCGGCAAACTAGAGCCCACATCGCATTTGATTTGTGCCGAATTATTGACGAGCACGCGCAGAATGTCACCATCTGTAAAAGATAGCACAATAAAATAAAATTGTACATTATTATTGAATTGAAATAAACTATATGAGCAAATGTTTCTGCAATTTCTTGACCGTTTCTGCAAATTATTGAGATTTAATTGCTGGTTTACTATCGATTTTTGTTTTGCTTCTTTATTTAAGGTTTTTAAGTATTTCGAGTCGTGGAATTTAGTATGTAAACTATTTCAATTATAAAAATTACAAGTCACTTTTTTGGCCCCCGCATTATTAATACACAAATTTTCGTCAATTTAAAATATGTGTTGGAAAATTTAGTAAAACCATGACAGATGTGGCCACACTTTGTGCTCGGCTCCAGCCTTGTCTGTGCCCTAATGCGTCTAAAGCAGGCAAAGCTGGCAATTGTGGTGATCTCGCTGAAATAGTTTTATGCGCCTAATGCAGCCACATCGTTTGGCTAAGCTTTAAAATATCGATCGACTGACCAGCGTATAACCAGCATAAAAAATAAAAGAAAAAAATGGTAGATAGAAAAAAAACAACAAAATCAGAACATCCATGGAGGCGGCCGCATAATGCGCCAATGTGCCGCAAAAACCCGGCCAATGCTGCCGCACGTAAGGGAAGCTGGATGAGGTGATTACCCAGCCGCATGCGGATTACAAAATGGCTGCCATTTTCATGTTTTTGTACAGTGTGTGTGTGTGTTTGTATGCGGTAAAAATGCAATGCGTATAACGTAAAAAAAACACGACTAAAAGAGCTGGCAACCACAACAGCGATGTCAAGAACTACAGCAGCAAGAACAACAACAACAACTGTGAATTGCGAATTGCAAACTGTGAGTTGGTTACTACGTTGGGAATAGCATAAAGCAAACTGCCAGAAAGCGCCTTGGGCTGGGCTTTTGTTTCTAATTTTGCACTTGTGTGCGCAATATAATCGCAAAGGCCTACGCACACTCGCAACCAAACACCTACACACAAAAACACAAACACACACACACACAGATAAACACACTTATATTACTTTCGGTTGTGCCCGGCAGGCACTGCGTCACTTTGTCTACAAACAAACGGGCGACCACATGATAAATAATCGATAAATTATGTGGACACATGTTTAATCTAGCATGAAATGGAATCATTTCCCTTCAATTTGTTGTTAGCCAACCAAGCAGCCGGGCAATAACGACAGCAACAGAAACAACAGCAACCAAACACACAACAGATGTGCAATAGATGGAATTGTTGAGGGGCTATGGCGCTTTGTGGGGTGCCTATTTAAATACAAATAATGAGCAGTTTATAAATGGCAGCGAATATGTTGTTGTCGTTGCAGGCAGCTCAAAAGTGCGCGGAGAGGCGAATAAAATTATCGCGCATACGCCATGTTCAGGGCAGTTGGACACACACTTGACACACACACACACACACACGCCCACACGATGCCAACTACAACGGCGAACAACTTGTGGCCCACTGACCGCATGCAGCAATTACATTTGCCCCCACCATACACACAGCCCACATAATGATAGATTTATCATTTGCTTAATTGCTTGGCTTGGAACAGGACAACGACAGCTTTAAGGCTGATGCTGCTGCTGTCTCTACATCTGATGATTAATAATTTATTTAATTAGCAGACAGTTTATTAAGTGTACGTGTAGCATATAAAGCCTACACCAGGTTTACCACCGAGTAAGACAAATATTGCCAAACAAGTATGCTTAACTACAAGCAAACGCTCAAAACTGGAATTATGAAAAGAGTAATTAATTTATTAAACTTAAAGGTAAACAAATGAAAGCAGTAATGTAAGCGCAAAAGGGTCTTTAATACGAATGAACAGCAATAATGAATAATAAATTGTAATGAATTTAAATTTTCTTTTCATCTGGCTTACTTACTTATTTTTAGAGAAGAAATAAATATGCATAAATTTAGGTAAAACAAAAACTTCTGCAATTTAGCTTATATTTTGACTACAATTGTTTTCTAGTTATGATAGTTTTTACCTGTAAAAAAATGTTCTTTTTATTTCAAATAAATGATTTAATGGAAAAATGTATTTCCAAATATTTTTTATGTATTCCACATGTCACTGTTTTCTCTAGGAAAATATAAATGTTAAATGAGATTCTGTTTTGAAATTCTTAGCTTAAATATGTTAATTAAAAGTCTAATTTATGCTGTGCCACATTACTTGCCGATGTACTTTATACTAAGTCTGTACATTGCCCGGGCGCACCTTTTGTTCCAGCTAACTCAGAGTGCCACTAATTACATTTATCTGGCAAGTTGTCCGTCTCCTGCTCTGTGTCTCCGTTTCTCTCTCTCTCGGTTTGCTTTGGTTTATCTTCATGCTGTGCCCGTTACAACAATGAAAATGCCAACAACAATAGCTTCAAGTAGTGGCTGCCTCTTACAAAGAATCACTTGCTGTGTCTATTGTTGTTTTTGTAGTTTGTTATTATATCTGCGCACCATTGTTGTTGTTGTTGTCTGCTTTAATGTAATTGAACATTTTCTAATTGACACTTGTCACTGGCAAAAACATTTTCAGAACTTCATTTTGACGCATTTACACACACATTTATTTCAATTTCCTTAACAACAAAAGCAGCAGTAACACGAACAACAGTAACAACAACAGCGATTGCAAACACGCATACAAAAACAAAATAAAGTTGTAGCACAATAGCTCCGCCTGACAATGCTACACGAAACGTGGCTCGGAATTTATTGCATTGGCTCCATAAGGAGCGTCGAAAAGGGGGGGAGCGCTGCCTGCCCGCTGCTATGCTGCAGTTAAGGAAGAAAAAACACGCCCGCACACAATACCACCAAAGACTGGCAGTCAGGTATGCAATCTGGCCATGACGTCCCTTATTCCTACTCTCATGGTCGCCCTTGCCAGTCGTGAGTCCATACCGAACAGGCGATGCAACTAAATACAAAAACCACGTGATAATGTTTTCAGAACAGCAACAGCAACAACAATGTGTATGGGTCTACACCTCAAATGGGATTTGCCAATAAAAAAAGAAGGCAGTAGCGTTGTCTATGGTATATCGGGTGTTGCAGCAGCCAGCAACTTTGGTATTTGTCGTACTTGCCACATGGTGTATTGCAAACCGCATTAGCCTTCACCAAGCCGTGCAAATGCCGATGCAAATAAAAAAATTAAAAAGCAGGCAAAACGTACAGCAAATATTGGATAACTAGGCGAATGCGTAATATGTTAGCTTTACACAGAGTCAACATGCTTTAAGGTTCTGCTCAACAGCCGGAATGAGAAAGTGTGTGCTCAATTGCTGGTAAATCTTTAAAGTAAGGATGATGTAGTTTTTACTTTACATTTGTCAAGAAATTAAACTTATAAGACTCTTAAAAAACATTTATTTTGGTGATTCTTTATGAAGCCCGCTCTGTACTAAAATGTAGTTGTTTATTTTATAAATATAAATTAAAATAGCCCAGCTCTTGCAAAATAATCGATTTTATGGTGGTGATAGTTTAATTATAATCAATGTTTGAGTCCATATTGTCGACTATCATATTTCTCTCTTGCCAAAATATATAAAAATAAAAAATAAAATAAATATAGAGCGTATACAACTTAATATAAAAAGACATTGCGTATCTTATACATTGCAGATATCTGCAGCTCTTAATTTAATTTTCCAGACATTGTGTATACGCCATGAGAAACAGCAAGTAATGTTCAATCAAATGTCAAGTGAGCACAATTCTATATTGTGTTTTAAAACGTTGATGCATTTTCTATTTTATCATGCATTAGTATTTCAGCTGCAGCATTATCGGAGAGCCATAAATGCTGGCAGTCAAGTAGTCAGCCTGTCAGCTGAAAGCAATTGACTGCCACAGGAATCGAGCACTGACAGCGCCAGAAGAAAGAGAAGTGCAGCAGCACAGCCAACTAAGGGCTGCATTAAAATGATAACGTCAAAACTTTCATATTAGAAGTTTAGCAAAGCGGTCTAAACTTTTGCAGCTAGCCGAAAATCGAATTGAATGCAGCTCAACCAGCAAATTATGATGGTAACATAATAATAGTAATAACAAAACTATAGTTGGTAATATAAAGATGAGTATGAGCCACAGCAACATTTTGGTGCGTACCACTAAAAGTGAAAAATCAAATGCGCAAACTTTTCTGTGACACGTGGAAACCCAAGGGCTTAGGTTCTGGCGATAGCGAACACAACAAATAGTTCCGGATCAGTGCGGTCACATGCCATTGTCTACGGAATGTATTTGTTCATAGCTCGCGAGCATCGTTGGCACAAATTGTTGTTTGAATTAAACAGCAGCTTTGCTAATGCCAAATGACGAAACGAAAACTTTAGCAAATCAGAGAACAAGGTAACGCAAGGCCAAGTGAACCACATGCTGCTAACTAGCCCGCATTTTGACGGATGGAAAAAGTTGGCTTTAATTCTGTAAGTCTGGCAAGTCTGTCTCACAGCCTCAAGCCTGATAAGCTGGTGCATAAATCACAATTTGAGTGCGCTGTAAAGTATGCTACGATCGCGACACGTTTGCCAAGTTGCGGGCCAAATTGTTGGCCAAGTTTATTAAACGTCTCGCGACTTTGGCAATAATTTCGATTTTGGGCATGCAATAAATTTTCTTTAATGTGAAATTTATGGGACACCATTTAATTAGTTTCCGTTGCTCAGGCCCCGGCCAAATTGATGTTGACAGAGATTATTGGCTGGGCACGTAATGCCCGTGAAGCTGTCTCTTCCCAACTCTCAATATGTCCCCGCTGAGTCCCCCTTTGACTACGCTCAGCTAATGGCCCAAAGTTGCCGCTGGCATCTACTTTATTTGTACGTGTCGCTGGGCCCGACTGGTTCCCGGCCATAACTTCCGCTTTACGCCCATTGACCTCGTCAACATTTATCTAACGGTTAAATGCCCTATATGGCCCATATGTCTGCTACTGCTTCCCACATGCGGTCCAAAAGTTTTTGTTTTCGACTTGGCCAAATTATTTGTGTATTGTAGTTGTCCAGCCTAGCAATTGTTGTCTTTGTGTTAGTTATGATTATTGCCGTGTTTATTGCGATTGCTGAAAAGCCCTTATCAAGATTAATTGCCGGAAAATTTTTATGCACACCACAAGTGACACTTTCAGGGCATGCCAATTGCCAATGTCATTGCTTATTCCCGAATTAAATTTGTGGCCAAGTCAACTTTGTGGCATGTGGCATAGTTAAATTCTGAATCGACTCACTAGTTTGTCAGGTCTCAGCGATTCCAAATCGATCGATAAAATTTACATTATTTAAATGGAAAGCCGTGTATATTTTAATGGGCCGTTGGCAGGCCTCGCGATTGAGGTGTGCAAAGGAGAGCTATTTAATAATTTTTTCTATGTTCATGGCTCATAAAATATTAAGTGAAATTAGCTACTAAAAAGAACTCTAATCAAACTATGAAATGCGCTAGTCAAGTAGACAAGATAACTTAAAATTAATAGGCAAACATTTAATCATTTGTTATTTTCGCTGAAAAATCAGTTATATGTGCACTTATTTCAACTTCCCAATTAGCCTTGTTTAGCAACAATATTTGAATTTAATTGATAGAAATAGCAATGAAACAGATGAAAATAAAGTTGAGCTAGTTATAGTTAGTAATATATTTATTAAAAGTGTCCAATAAAATAATAATTATAATAAATAAACAAATAAGAGGTGTGAAATATTTAAACTGTGCTGGTAATAATATCTAATAACAATAAGAGCATTCACATAAAAAGTTAATAAATATATTAAAAACTTCATATATAAATTATTTTTGTTGGCATACAAAAATATTCACGCAAAGATATTTACAAAAAAACACATGTTTGTGGCATGCTGCTCTATACCGTTTTTTGTAAGCATATGTATTTTTTTTAAAAGGATATAACTGATATACAAACTGCTCAGCCAGCACCCTTTACGACCTTCCACCCCTTTGATGCCTGTCGTACAGCTTTTGCATTTCCCAGTACAAGTGCACCCGCCCAAACAAATTATATATATAAATGTTTTATAGTGCTATGCTATGTTATAAAAAAAAACTATTACAACATGCAAATTATAATTGCGCTATTAAAAATTGCATATTAAATGCGACACAACAAAGCAAAAGCAGAAACAACAACAACAACCTGAAGGCATTAGCTGAAACAAGCGATGGGAATGTGTAAGCCGACGCCAAACAGTAACACGAACAGCATTGGGCAATGCAACACTAACACTAACTGCAACAACCACAACAATAAACAACAAAAACAACAACCACTCAGTAGCAGCGACAACAACCAGCCAAAAGTCCTGGCAAATAGTTTAAAACATGATTTTACCCAGCGCAGAGCACGCACCAGAAGCAGTCAGAGCTGCAAATGTGTGCGCGCGCGTGTGGGTGTGTGTGTGTGTTTCTGTGGCTGTGTGTGTCAGTTGTTGCGATTGTTGGATTACTGCCAGCAGGCAGCAAAACCTTGGCCCATAAATTATTCATTGATTAGCAACAAATGCCATTAAACATGCACCCAAAGTGCTTTGCCTGCAGTCAGCGCAACTAGCAGCAGGAGACTTGTGTTTGTGTGCGAGTATGTGTGTTTGTGTATGTCACGCATTTTAAACTGTCATTTGTTAGGCGCCTGCCTCTCGAAATTGCCCAATTGTTGGCTATTGCTGTCCCCTGCCAAACAGTCGTTCCAAAAGCGTGCTATAAATTATCCACTGCTGCTGGCAGGCCATCAAAGAGCGCTAAACGGCTTACACTTTGCGCATATTTTGGCCAAAATCCGCGACTTATGCCCAAATGCCCGCCCCCAAGCTCACGCCCACGCGTGACAATAACAGTTAATGCTGCCGCTGCTCTTGCCATATCCAAGGCCATGGAAAATGTTCTACTCACTTTCTGAATTTTTTTTAATATACCCTACTCTTGCACAGGGTTAAGTCGCCGATCCTTATCTGCCTGTAACACTGGCTATAAATCAATGGCAACAGTATTCGGAATTCTATATGGGCTTTTTTGCATTTTAGCCCTGAACTACTCCAAACGAGACTACAATGGGGACAAGACTAATATCAAGTAATGTTCACTATATAAAAACGTTTGGAATGGATGTTTATTTAAGCATACCATTATTATTTGGCGATTCAATTAACTGCAGATCAGTCACATATAATGCACATACATATATAAAATCACATCATCACTTTTTACTATCCCAAGTTTAGAATTATATTCACTCTCATTACTTCGTTTGTTTTTCATGGATATCCTCTAATGTGAAACATACTCGCAAATGTTTATTTTCTCTAACTAAATATAAAGTTTAATGTTTAACAACCAGTTAAAAAATGTATACCCTTTTAGTTATTTGTGTTCCATTTAATAGTTTAAAGATAGAGCTTATAATTTTATATCTTCATCATCTCAACAAAATAAATCGCACTTAGAGCATTAAAAGTTCGTTGTGCTTTAACCGTGGCATTTTCTTCTTTGTTGTTATTTTTGAGCGCCATTTTATTTTGCGCTGAATTTTAATTTAAAATGTTTTTGGCAGCCTTTTGGTTGCTTTAAAAAAAAATCAAAAAAAAAGGAAAACTTTCACGTCAACGGCTTTTAAGCGCTGATTTTGTACGGAATTTAGAGGGTGGGGCTGGGAGCATACAGGTTGAGCGGCTTGATAAAAATCTGAAAATGGCCAGCAAAGCGAACATTTTTCAATGGCATTTTTTGTGCTTCGTTGTGGGCCAAAGGTGACCCTGAGCTGCGGTTATTTACACATACCAACTTAGGTCACGGACTGCAAAAGGCATGAAGCACACATACAGATGGGTCAGACGGGACACACACACATGATTTATGCAGCTGCTGTTCTGTGTGCGGCTTTTAATTTGCTTAATTTTGCGCTTAGCCACAGCAGCAGTGGCAGCAGCTGCGTTGGTGGCTACTTTGCCACAGCCGACAGCCCCTTTTTAATTTCAATGTGAAAGGCTTTCATCACTCGTACTCTGTACTTTGTGCCTTTCTCAACCCGCTCTATATTTCTCTCTCTCGCTGGTTGTGGCTAATTTGGCAACAGCTGTGACCATTTTTAAATGGAATTTTGCGGGTAAACATACGTCTGCCTTTTCGCTTTCTGCCACATTGATAAATCGCACTTATTTAAGGTGCTTGAACCTCGTGCACCTCTGAGAATCTATGTCACATAGACCCACACAGACACAAACACATACACACACATCCAAAACAGCCTCTTAACTGCGCTTGAAGGAGACTGCAGCCGTAAGGTGAGGGAACACGAAAGAAGCACAAATCTGACAGGCAACAGCTGTGGAATGCACACAGACCCTCAGCCAAGGGTAACAACAGACCTTGCCTTACTTTAAGCTCATAGTTTATTATACTCTCGCAACTAAAGCAGCTTAAACTTAACTTCTTCCATGGAAAGGACTCT